ACGACCACGACTCCAGCTCCCAAGCTAATCCAATACCTAGATCCCCAGCACGCGCATGATTTTGACATGTTAAGCTCTGGTGTTTAATGGAGATATTTGTGCTTTTAGGTCTCACGCGCGACATCAACAATTTGACGCAGCGCTATGACTCGGAAACGGATCCGGCTGCGGATCCCGATACAGATGCCACCGGCGACAGCCTGGAGCAGAGCCTGACAGCAGCCGCCACGCCGCCCAACAAGATGCAGCATTCGCTGCATGGCGGCGTCTCGGCTGGCATTGGACCGCGCTCCTCGCAGCAGCACAGCTCCTTCAAGCGGCCCGTGATGGGCAATCGTGGCCTGGAGACGCGCCAGAGCAAACGCTCCCAGCAACATCCGGCTGCCGCCCGGGAACCACTGACGCCAGGCAATGGCAGTATCACGACCAATGGCAATGGCGGAACACCCGTGCTGCCCGCTCATCCCATCACCGTGGGCGCTCTGGAGGTGATGAATGTGAAGCGTGTCGTCAATCGGTATGGCACTTTGCCGAAGGTGGCGCGCATTGGCGCCTTCCTGGACAGCCTGGAGGACAGCAGCAGCAGCAATAGCAGCAGCAGCAACACGGAGACATCGGCTAATGGCCATGCCACGCCGCCAACACGCGCACCGCCCACTGTGCCCGTGGCCAGCAAGCAGCAGCAGGCGCAGCCAGCGCAGCCACAGCAGATGATCAGAAGCAACTCGTCGGGCGGCGTGACCATGCAGAACAATGCAGCCGCCAGTCTCAATAAGCTGCAGCGACATCGCACCACCACGGAGGGCACCATGATGACCTTCTCATCGTTTCGCGCCGCCGGCAGCAGCAGTAATTCGCCAAAACGTGGCGGCGGCGGCATTGCTCAGCCGGCGCTGGCCAATCTGGAGTTTCCGCCGCCGCCGCTGGAGGAATTCGAGGCACTGCCGCCACCACCGCCGCCGCCAGCGCCCGAGAGCGCCGTCCAGGCCATACAACAGCATCTGCATGCGCAGCACAGCAGCAGCAACGATGTCAGCAATACGGCACCCAGTGTCGAGGAGGCCAGTTCCCGTTTCGGTGTCTCGCTGCGTAAACGTGAGCCATCGACGGACTCGTGCAGTTCGCTGGGCACGCCGCCCGAGGCGCCACCACCAGCAGCAGCAGCCCAGCCAGCTGAGAAGAGTCTGAATCTCAAAGAGAAGCTCATCACGGAGATTAAGTCGGCGGGCAAGCCGGCCGAAACAACCGTTGGCTATGCCAATGGCAGTGCACCGCCGGCCGCGGTTGTTGATCCCGTCGCACAGCTTGTCACCGAGCTAGCCGAGAGCATGAATCTGCCCAAGCAGACGAAGCTGACCAATGGGAACTGCAATAATAGCAGCAACAGCAACGGCAGCAACAACAACAACTTCAAGGCGCAGCTGAAGAAAGTGGAGCCGAAGAAACTGAATGCGCCCATGCCAAAGGCCGAGCAGCCCTCAAATATAATTGACTTTAAGGCGCATCTGCGCAAAGTGGACAAGGAGCAGCCACAGCAGCCGCCGCAACAGGTGCAACAGCCTTCGCAACAGCCACAACAACAACATTCGCCCAATGCCAATTGCAGCATGCGCAAGGATGAAACCGGAAATGGCAAAAAGTTAGCTGCAAATCAAAAGACTGAAATCAAAATCGATGTGAACAACTCGAATGCGGATGCGGATGCCGCCAGCGCCGGCTACGGCGAAACTGGCACCGTGACAGACGCTGGCAAGCGGCGCAGCACAGGTAGTATTAATAGCTTAAAGAAACTTTGGGAGCAGCCGCCGCCGGTAGCCAGCGGCGACTATGCGAGCACCTCAATCCCACAAGCGGCACAGACCGCCCAATTGTCACCCAAATATGGCCTAAAGGCAGCCCAGACCGTTGTCAATGCCAAACTGTTTGGCATTAAACCGCCGCCGGCGGGACCGCCACCACCGCCCCCAATTAGCAGCACTCCATGCACAACCACAACAGCACAGTCCCAGCCAGCCGCAGCAGCAGCAGCAGCCGCAGCAGTTGCCACAAAATTAGCTGCAACAAGTCCCACAACAACAGCAATAAAAACATCTCTTTCAACGCAAATCTTCACAGATGCCGAGGGCAGCAGCAGCGAGGAGCAGACAGCAGCCGACCAGCAGGCGGAGCACATGACGCAATCGCTCTATGGCAGCGAGCAGCTACAGTACCAATCCAACTCCAACTCCAATTCACCCTCATCCGCCGCCAATCCGCAGCAGCAGCAGCAGCCAACAAGCCAAAGCAATGCCAACAACAAGCTGAACAGCGGGGGAGCGGGCCAGACTAAGCCCGCGGTGCCGCACAAGCCCACCAAGTTGACTATATATGCCACGCCCATTGCCAAAATAGCCGGCATTGGCGTGGGCGTGGGCAGCGGTGGCGGCGTCGGCGGCGGGGCTGATAACAGCCTCATCAATTCAACGCAAATCTCAAGGGAGAGCATACTGGAGCTGGTCACGCTGCTGGAGGGTTCACTCAAGCATCCAGTGAATGCCATTTCGGCCTCGCAGTGGCTGCAGCTCAGCGACAAGCTGAACATATTGCAGAACTCGTGCGTGGTGTTTGCGGAAAATGAATCGATGCCGCCGCACTCGAAATTCCATTTTCGTGAGCTGGTGACGCGCGTCGAGACGCAATCGCAGCATCTGCGCACCGCGGGCAGCAAAAATGTGCAGGACAACGAGCGACTGGTGGGCGAGGTGGGCCAGTCCCTCAAGCAGATATCGAATGCCCTGCACAGGTAAATGATAAGAACGGGGATGGACGCACAGCGGAGCGGTGCGGCCGACAACAACGGCGCCGCCATTTGGCTGGACGCCGAGGGCAATTTTATCAAGCGCAAGCAACCACAGTGATACGATATATATGTACACACGTATATATATATAGCCACATTGCTCCCACCATCCCCCATCTTCCGGAGAGGCCCACGGAAACACACACAACGAACTGGAACTGACAAATGGATTGAACTAAAGGAAGACCTAACTGCAAGGCCCAGCGAAGAGGCGCAGGCGGCAACAGACAAAAGAACAACAACAACAAAAAGAAACTACAACTATTATTAATTATTAATAACTAAATATATATATATATATACATATACTATATATAGTAGTTGGTAGCATGTAGTACCGACTACCGTAGTATTTAGTAGCCGTAGCGATTATACATACATCTAGTCATATATCCGATGCATCCGCTTATATCGTGACAGGGAGACAGGGAAAGAGAGAGAGAAAGTGAAGGAGAATAATAGAGAGAGGGAGAGAGAGAGAGAGAGCGCGAGTGAGTGGGCTTCAAAACTGAGTTGCAAAGCAAATTTCTTCTATATAGGCATTTTCCGACTAAACGCCGTCTTCTATTTTTTTAATTCTAAATTATATATATATATATATACACAAAAAAAATGCCACTTCACACACAACTTTTTCCACTATCATCCTTTTTTTCAATCAAGCTAAAGCTTCGTTTTTATAAACATTGAAAGACATAGAAGTGCATATGGATTGCAGTTTGAGTGCATGAATTAATGAATGAAATATATATTCATAGAATATCTCAATAAATTAGTAATTATACTGCACACACACACACACACGCATATATATATACATACATTTTACATATATATATATATTTACTAGTCGGTAAAAGTGTTTTTAGTATACCTATACAAGATACATATATATATATAAATATATAATTGAATACGTGCGTACATTATATGTAATACGATTGCCCGTTCTAAATCGAAAACTCAATTTACAACGTTTAGACTTTTCTTCGTGTTTTAGTACTCGTAATACCTACATAAATACATCAAAATGCAAAATGATCTATGTGTACTACTTGGCATAAATTATAAACAGTAGCAAAGCCCAAAGATATTATTATTAACGACTACTCGAAAGATTTATATTTATATATATATGTATATGTATTTGTTAGTTGCAAAGACTAAATGAACTTATTTTTTAGTTTATGTTGAACAATGCAAGGTAAAAAAAAAACAAAAAACAAATTAAATTGGTGGCAAATGCTTTTTAGATACATACTTATACACAACAACAAATTGTAATTATCTGATATTTTATGGATTTTAAAACTACTTTTATACGTAAAAACAAACACACACACAACTCACACGACAAAAAAAAACCAAATAAATATTCATTTCATATACATAGCTGCGGATCAACATTAGGGCGGGTCATATATAAAGTTGACATACATATTAATATGGATGTGCATAACAAAAATATATATATATTTCACATTTATCCAAAATATCTATCCCCCAATAACAGACAAAAGACAATGTGCATTCAAAACATATATTTATATATAAATATATATATATATATATAAATACTATATTTCTGTAACTTCTATAACATCTGTGCGTTTGAATGCGCTTAGAGCATATATATTATTTAAAAATGAAAGGATGCAAAATACTTCATGGAGAAATAAAATGATATTTAAAACTAAATGCGTTGAGTTGTATAAGTTTTAAGAGCGCAAAACAAATATCTCTTTTTTGTCTCCATATGGAAATAGTTGATAAATTCATATTCCAATTCAAGTTGTCAATTTGTTAGCAATTTAATTTACTTAAGATTTCACAGTGGAAGCTTTGATTTAAATGTAAAAATCCCGCCCTATCGATAGTTTCGTAATACTCAACTTGTATGCATCGATAAATTCTTATCGATATGACTATTTCACAGCACTAGCCCGAAGCTGAACTTGCTTATTTGCGCCGTTTGCGATAGTGTTGTAGTGCAGCCCTCTAATTAGTGACATTGACGCAGCCCTTTCGCTGCTGTTGAATTTAAATTTCAACCTTACTGGACCTCTCGACAGAACGTGAATATATAGATATAAACAACTTACATTATATTAGACTAAAAATGTTATCACTTTTGATTTTGTGCTTGTGTCATAAAACAAACAATGGTATATCTTGGCTTGTATAAAATAATGCTCGCTGTGAATAACATAACCGCAAATGGTAATGTTATTGTCGCTGTTATGTTAAATAACATTTCTGTTTGGCATTCGTTCTTTTTTTTCATAAAGAAAAGAAGAAGAGATAGAGGAAAAAAGACGAACTAATATATAATAATAGAATATTATTTATACTGTGATATATAGCCAAGCATTGTTTTGTGTATGCAAACCAGTAATTGGACAAACGAATCAGCAGTAAACCAAGCACCAGCAGCAAACCAATTGCGACAACAACAGCAGCACCAGCAGCAGCAGCAACAGCAGCAACAACAAGAGGAAAGTCAGCCAGCAACAGCAGCAGAAGCAAAAGCAGCATTAAAATGCCACTGTTTGGTAAATCACAGAAGACGCCTGCCGAATTGGTCAAGTCGCTGAAGGAGGCGATAAACGCACTGGAGTCGGGTGATCGGAAGGTGGAGAAGGCGCAGGAGGATGTTAGCAAAAATCTGGTATCTATCAAGAATATGCTGTACGGCAGCAGCGATGCGGAACCGCCAGCGGACTATGTGGTTGCCCAGCTGTCGCAGGAGCTGTATAACAGTAATTTACTGTTACTGCTAATACAGAATCTGCATCGCATCGATTTTGAGGGTAAGAAGCATGTGGCGCTCATATTTAATAATGTGCTGCGCCGGCAGATTGGCACCCGTTCGCCCACAGTGGAATATATATGCACGAAACCGGAAATATTATTTACACTGATGGCCGGCTATGAGGATGCGCATCCGGAGATAGCCCTCAATTCGGGCACAATGCTGCGCGAATGCGCACGCTACGAGGCGCTGGCCAAGATCATGCTGCATTCGGATGAGTTCTTTAAGTTCTTTCGGTATGTGGAAGTGTCAACATTTGACATCGCCTCCGATGCCTTCTCCACGTTCAAGGAGCTGCTGACACGCCACAAGCTCTTGTGCGCCGAATTTCTGGACGCCAACTATGACAAGTTCTTTGCCCAGCATTATCAGCGATTGTTGAACTCGGAGAACTATGTGACACGACGCCAGAGTCTGAAGCTGCTCGGTGAACTGCTGCTGGACAGGCACAATTTCACCGTTATGACGCGATATATATCGGAGCCAGAGAACCTGAAGCTGATGATGAACATGCTCAAGGAGCGATCGCGCAACATACAGTTCGAGGCGTTTCATGTCTTCAAAGTGTTTGTCGCGAATCCGAACAAACCGAAACCGATACTGGACATCCTGCTGCGCAATCAAACGAAACTGGTCGACTTTCTGACCAGCTTCCATACGGATCGATCCGAGGACGAGCAGTTCAACGATGAGAAGGCCTATCTGATCAAGCAGATAAGGGAGCTGAAGCCGCTGCCCGAGGCTTAGTTGGCAGCGGCAGCGAGAACGAGAACAAGAACGAGAACATTTTGGCCTTGGCTGTATGGCAGGATGACGATAGCGAAGACGAAAGCAGGACAACAGACAAACGACAACAACAGCACATACATTCGCAATATGTGTGCGTGTGTGTGTGTGTGCAGGGCGTGGGTTAACCTTAACCGCAACCAAATGCAAATGCAATTCCAATACACACACACACACACACGCACGCACGCACATTTGTGGACAAAAGACGATGACGATAACCGATGACGGATGACCGATAACCGATGACTGATGACGGATGACGACAGCACTTGTGAGTAACTAAACAATAATTTAGACAAAGCAAACAACAAAATGATAACGATAAATAACGATAAAGCAAAATACATAAGTAGTAACAAACAAGTACACACATTATATTATGTATGTAATAGCGTAAAGGAGTAAATGCAGCCGCAGCATGTTGCGAATTTAACTAAACAAGAAAACAACAAAAAGAAGAAACTCACTCACACACACACACACACTACTTGAATATACTTTCTTCTTTCATATTGCATATTCGCTCCGGCTTCCGTCTAGTTCGCTTTTGAAATTGTTCCGAGTTCGGTTTGTTGTTGTGGTTCCAGTTCGCGATCCTCGTGCGCCTGTAGACGTATATAGACCTATGTATGTACACCTCTACCTACCTATAACTACTGTTACTATTACTTTGCGTAAACGGTATATTATTATTATTTCCACTACTTTTTTTTTCGTGTATTTCTTTTGCCTATTTAAATAGTTGTTGTATTGAAATTGAAGCGTTTGTGAAACGTTATATCCAGGACAATGAAGATAATATGAGTTTTGACTTACAATTTAGACATTAAACATTTCAAATGTGCGCCGAAATTAACAATTGCGGTAAATTATTATTATTAAATACGTATGAAGGAAAAACCAATTGTAATTTCACCTAAAAACTTCATTCAGAATACTGCATAATAATTATAGTTATAATTGAAAAAAACATTCAAAACACACACACACACGCACACATACACACTCCACACCAAAACACACACCCACACACACCTACACACTAAACATCCATACGTACATAGTAAAAAGAAAAGGGAAGTAAAACAACAACATTACGAGCAGCATAATAAATATATTATTATAATTTATATTATTCCCAAAATTAAAGATAACAGCCAAACAAAAAAAAAAATTCCATCATATGTGTCATGCTGATTGGAAAACGGGCGCAGGAGGGCGGGGCCGCAACTGTTAAGGCATGCTGCCGCAGACGTTCAAAGCTCCTGAGTCATGTGCAAGTGCGAGGGCTGCACAAATTCTTGCAAGTTTGTGCATGTTTCTTAACACGTGTTTTCTTATGTGAAGCATACGCGTATGCAATAGTATTACAGTTAGTAATGCAAAACGATAGTACATCACTAAAAGGCATTCCTTACATAAATGTAGATAATATTTGTATATTGTTGGAGCTTGCTTATGATAAATAGTTAGGGAACTAATATGCCCAGAAGTAAAGGGTATTAAGGCATTAAAGTAGGCATGACATATTTGTGCAGCCCTGGTTACCGATCAGCTGTCTTAAAATTTCGGCGCCTAAAAATCAATCACAGCGAAAGCAACAATTGTATTTAACAAAATGCACAAAAGATTTCGGAAATCAGCCGATCAAACAATTATTGGAGATGGCAGCAGCAGCAGCGACAATGCTAGTGGAAATCATCAAAGGATCAGATCACTCGTGCGTAGGAAATATGTGCGGCAGAAGCGTACAAAAACGGACGAGTTCGATATTTCCGATACAAGCAGCGAGGAGGACCCTAATAGTCAAGATCGTTTGGACCAGGAGAACCGAAAGTGGGCTGCCAATCTTAAGAGATACAGCAGCGACCACAAGCCGCAGCCATTGACACCACAAAATAAGTTCCAGCCCTTGTCGCTGTCCGTAAGTGTCAAATCCCCGTCTCCAACATTACCAACTAATTCATTTGATATGGCCAACTGTTCCACGAGCATTCCTGGCGATGCTCCAGCCAGCTGCCGAGCAGCTTGGCACAGCTTCAGGCAGACACTTACGGCATTAAAACGGGATCGTCAGGGCGTGCTTCGGGCATCGACAAGCAATCAGGAAGCTATGAATGAATCGCTGCTGGAGTGCACGCTAAACACATCCATAGAGGCTAATCTGGAGACCATGATTGACACGCAGCAAATGCCGAACAGCTGCAGAAAAGTGGCCAAAAAGAAGCAGCGCTGCATCAAAGGTGGCCATTTATATGAATTCAAGCGAATGATGTTGAGGGAGCGCATGGATCGCCGGAGTCTAGCGCACAACCAGCGGCTGGGCATTAGCTCGGGACAACGCGTGCGTGTGCTGAGCATAAGCGAATCCTTTGGCTGTCACATGGCACGCGTACAGAACGAAGCGGAGGATAAAGGCATATTTAACATAATACTCTCGCCCAGCATGGCGCCGAGCGTGGGCGCCACGCTAGAGCTTTACTTCGACCTGAAGCCGGAGACAGCGCTGCAGCTGCCAAATAAGGAGCTCGTTTACGTACAGCCAAATAAGTTAGTTTTATTATAAGTACACTCAAACTTAGGACTAATTAGGGATTACTTTGTAAATGCATTGGTATAAAGTAGCAATGCAGCTAGCGCCGCTTTTTCTTCTCCAGCTTACGTATTTTGTGCAGACGTCGCGCCACATTGCCGCTGCCCGGCGCAGGCTCATCGCTAAGCCGTGCCTCATCCTCGATCGTGTCCTGGGAATCGCTGCCACTCATCAGAACTGCAGCGGTTATGCAAACGAACTGAAATATGGCGCCAACGAAGAGTCCGTAGCGTACTAGTAGGCCAAAGAAATCCTCCTCGCCGTATTTATCCAGATTAGCAGCAGCTACACCTATATTATCAGTAGACATATTTCTTGTGTAAAAACTCAATATTGACTTTGTTTATGGTTTTGTGTATGCGGCGCACACAGGGTGATGCATGCCCAGACAGCTGAGGCGATTGTCACAAATAGAAGAAGCAGGGAGTTGCAATTATGTTGTGACATTTGCAAAAACATGTATGCAGTGCACACAGGGTGATGCGTGTACAAACAGCTGAGGCGATTGTTACAAAGAGAAGAAGCTAGAAATAGCTTGTTGCGGCTATTGATTTCAATAGGTTCTAAACAAATCGTTTTTTATTAACGTACTTAAAAACCAACACAAATATGCAATTTTGCATTATGCCATTTGTAAAACCTTTTTAATGCGCACCACACAGGGTGAAGCGTGCACAAACAGCTGAGGCGATTGTCACAAATAGAAGAGGAAGCAGAAATTTTCTTGTTGCGACGGATGACTTTAGTCGGTTTTGCATAATTCGTTTTAATTTAAGTAACTTAAAGCTGACACAAGTATGTCGTGCTTCCGTTTGGCCACTGCACTTACTGCCGCGCGTCCGCTGCCCCTGACCAGCCAAAACCTGCGACTTTTTGCGAGAAAATCACAGGAATTTACATATGCTCGGCGCCAGTTCTCGAAGGCCTTAAATGAGAGCAACATTGTCAAAAACACCAAACCCGCCGGCACACTGAAGCTGACATTGTTGGGCGCGTGTATTGGCGCCGTCGCTGGATCCACCTACACAATTTACTCGAGGATTAGCGACAAGGATTCGCACAAGGAGCACGAGCGCACGCCGCCAAAAGTCATCGGATCGCTGCCAGCCGGCGTTCGCATAACAAAGCGCTATATTAATCCTAAGGATACCTCAGGGCTGGACATAGTGCTCTTTCAGTTCCAGACATGTCCATTTTGTTGCAAAGTTCGTGCCTATCTGGACTACATGGGCGTATCCTACTCGGTGGTGGAAGTTGACGCTGTGCTGCGCCAGGATATCCGCTGGTCATCGGTTAAGAAGGTGCCCATGGTGCTGATACGTCAGCAGGATGGCCAATATGTACAGATGACGGACTCCAGTGCCATCATTTCACTGGTGGCCAGCAGTCTGCACGATAAGCGTACCGATGTGGGTGACTTGGCGCAGTTCTACCCGCATGTTTCCTTCTTTGATGACGATGGCAAGAAGCGGCAGGATATATTGAACAAATACTTCCTCATGTACCAGGATCGCACACCAAAGAACATGACCAAAGAAATTGAAGAGTAAGTGCAGGCTCTGTTCTAGTTCTTGAATCAATTGATAATAAGTGCGTTTGTAGAAACGAGCGCAAATGGAGGACCTGGGCCGACAATCATCTAGTGCATCTCATATCTCCAAATTGCTACCAGACGCTTGGCGAGGCGCTGGAGACATTTGAGTGGTTCTCACAGGCAGGCGAATGGGATGTCTATTTCCCCAAGTGGGAGCGCAACCTGATGGTCTACGGCGGTGCGACAGCCATGTGGGTCATAGCCAAGATATTGAAGCGACGACACGAGCTCACCGACGATGTTCGATCTCATATGTATGATGCTCTGGGCAAGTGGACGGCGGAGCTTAAGAAACGAAACACGAAGTTCATGGGCGGCAAGCAGCCGGGACTATCGGATCTGTCAGTGTTTGGCGTGCTGAGCAGCATGGAAGGTTGTCAGACATTCAAGGACAGCCTACAGAATACAAACATTGGTAACAACAATTTCTAAAGGCAAACATAAACCCCTTAAACTAATAATATGTAAATTATAGGCAAATGGTTTTACGATGTCAAGGAACTAGTGCAACAGAACCGCGGTGAGCTGCGTAGGGAGCGCATAGCGAGCGTGGAGGCCCTAGCTTAAATAAAATATGCACAACATTTACGCCCAAAGATTGTTCAAATTGTTTAAATAAATGCCCTACATTCATATGAATTCCGATCCAATAAGAACTATCGTTGTAATCGATTCAAACGATATTTGCTCGATTTGCATCGAGCTGCTTTGGAAAATATCGATATATCGTCCATATGTGAACATCTCTAATTGTGTGAAACGCCGCTAGACGAAACTTGCAAATCATTTCGGGCAGCCTTCTCATCTTGGAAATTTAACAAAAGCAAAAATATGAATTGTCTTGGTGTCGAACAATTCCCGGATTATAAAGTGCCCGGAGTGCAGCATGTGGACTTTTCCCCCTACGAGTCCAATGGCGGGTGAGTGTCCAAATGCGTGTTTTGTGAAAACTCAACCAACATACGAAATGCCTTGTAGCTCCATTGTTGCCATTGCTGGAGAAGACTTTGTGGTTATTGCCGCCGATACACGCTTGAGCAGTGGATACAGCATCCATTCGCGCGATCAGAGCAAACTCTTCAAGATGTCGCCGAAAACGGTATTGGGCTCTACTGGCTGCTGGTGCGACACCCTCTCGCTAACAGGGCTGGTCAAGGTGCGCATGCAGATGTACGAGCACACCCACATGAAAACCATGTCGACTGATGCGGTGGCACAAATGCTCTCGATTGTCATGTATAACCGCCGTTTCTTCCCATACTATGTGTCGAACATTTTGGCCGGTTTGGACAAGGATGGCAAGGGCGCCGTCTACTCATACGATCCCATTGGCCATTGCGAGCGCGCAACTTACCGTGCCGGCGGCACTGCGGGAGCCCTGCTGCAGCCAGTGTTGGACAACCAGATCGGCTACAAGAACCAAAACTTGCCCGCCGATCAATTGCCGCCACTCACCAAGGAGCGCGCGGTGGCTGTTGCCTCCGATACCTTCATATCGGCCGCTGAACGTGATATATACACCGGTGACTCGGTGCTAATAAATATCATCACCAAGGATGGTGTTGAGGAGCGAAAGCTGCAACTGCGCAAGGATTAAAAACACTAAGGTCAAGGGTTAAAAAAAAACTGCATTCACACATTATGTTCAACTTAAATTTGTTGTAACTCTATAAATAAAACAAATCTAAAAGATAAATTCAAAATAATGTCCTAAACGCTGCCTTGTCTAAGAAATATGTAAAGCGAGCTTGTATTATGTATCGTGTAATTGTTAACAAAAATAAGTTAAATGGATGCAAATAATGTTTAAAGGGACATTAACGTTTGCTGATGTATGTTTCATTTTGTACATTATATTACATATATACAAATTATTATATTAAGAAATTCTATAAACAATCTTATAAAGTACATTTTTCGGATAAAATGGAAGTATATATGTGTGTGAGCATACATACGTATACGATATTGTACACATCTTCATATACATGTATGTGTGTTTGCAGTAATGTTTTATACCAAATTCACACCAAATTTACTTCGTGTTGCGCTTAAAAGTTTAAAAGAAACGTTAATACGTTAAATACGCGATTCTCATGGAAGAGCCAGAGCCTGGAAGAGCCGTTTTAACATAGGTGGAGAAGGAGGAGGCGGCTTCAACAATGCCTTGCTTGCATGTGTGTACACACGCATACATGCATGCAAAACATAGGTGTGTGAGTATATGAATATGTTTTTATGTATGTATTTGTGTCTCTCTTTTTCTTGCCATACTGTGCAGCCCTGGCAAAACGGGCCATCAGCTGTTTAGCATTTAGTTTCTTCAGAGTGTGCGTATTGTTGCACATATTCGCCCAATGAAAAGTATATTGTTTATACCGGTACTTCTGTTGATTTGTCTACAAGTTTCCCTTATTTTCGCCAATAAGAAAATGCTGGCGGCAATTGTGAAGCCTGGTTTATTTCGGCATATAATGTGCCGCAACAATGTGTATCCACGCAGCAGTGTTCAGCGCTTTCCGGTGCCGGACGCTGTTGTGTTTTGGACAGTTAACTATGAGGAGTACTGCCCGCCCTGCTACACCGCCCCGCACATCGGAGGCCAGAGCTGGGCGGATGCGCCGTTGCCAAATGAGGCGAATGTGCCGCACTGGAACCACAATGACGGTCTGGTTAATCGCGTTTCCTTCCATGGTGAATATCAGATTAAAGATGGCCTGCCGCAAAATCCAATTGGACGCACTGGACTCTGTGGCCGCGGCTTGTTGGGACGCTGGGGTCCCAATCATGCGGCGGATCCAATAGTCACGCGCTGGAAACGGAATGAAAAGGGTGAAATTGTGCGCCACAAAGATAGCGGCAAGTACGTGCAGGTTAAGTGACGATATCAAAGGCACCTCTCTAACTTTTGGCTTGGCATCTTAAAGAAACATTCTTCAGATGGTGGCCATACAGCGCTCGGACAACAAACTGTGGGCAATTCCTGGCGGCATGGTTGATCCCGGCGAGAACGTAAGCGTCACATTGAAACGCGAATTTACCGAGGAGGCGCTCAATTTCGACGACAAGGGCCACATGGTGGAGGAGTTCTTCAAGCAGGGCGGCGTGCATGTGTACAGCGGCTACGTGGACGATTTTCGTAACACGGACAATGCCTGGATGGAGACAACAGCTCTCAACTTCCATGATGAAGACGGCACCAAGGTTGGTCAGCTGCAGCTGGAGGCCGGCGATGACGCCACAAATGTGCGCTGGACCGATGTCAATGCGAATCTCAAATTGCACGCCAATCACGCCGATATTGTCGGCGAGGTGGTTGCCAAGCGGAATGCGCATTGGTAGCAACGGTTAACATAACTAATACCAGGTACTTATATATAATAATAGATATTAATAAGTTTTTACAACTGAAGAAGTAGCATTTTTCTGCCTTTGGGTCTCGTCACGAAAGAGAAGCTAATTCCATTAGGTGTGCACATTCTAGCCGAGTTGATATCTCGGCCAACTATGTCAGATAACTCCCCTTTAAAGATTTGGTCAGATTTAAAGATAATCCACCATCCACCTAGATATATGTAGCGAGTCTTAACTATCTAGCACCACCAGGAATAATTATTATTAAATGCTTTCACTGTTGTGTTAGTGTTTATTTTTCGTATATTTATTTCAGACTATTCGCTATTCATACATTCACGTTTTTGCGCAATAACAAGTTAAGACAATTGTCCTTTTCGCTAGGAAACCATTTAAAATATATATATTAATTTCTTTTTCTGAGTGCATTGGAATTCATCAAGCTTTGCTTGCGCTTTGTCGCCCGCAAGCATCTCCATTCTTTTAAAAAACAAATGTGACGGCATATATGTATGTGGATAACTGGGATAACTAATTGGTTACGTCCAAATGATTATCAATTTGAGGGTCTGTAGTTTTACAGAGTCTGGAGATAGTTGAAGACCTCTTGACTCGAGTTGGCCACGTTGTTGAACTGATCTGGATACTGTTCACGTATTTCCGCAAGGAAGGCAAGCGCGCTGATCTTGCTATCTCCGTCGGGCATTTGCTCCTTGTATAATACGTCTATGGTGATTTTCAGAATCTGTTCAAGGTAGTCAATAATAGTCGGACGTGCATGCATGTAAAGCACACGGAATGCTTTGTGCACCATGTCGTTCTCGTCCGTATCCTCGCGCAGTGGCAAATGCGAGAGTAAAACAGGCAACACCTGCGCCAAAGGCACAATATTATGATTGGTCACGATCAGACGGGAAACGGCACCGCAAATATTGTCCAGAGCTGGGGCATTTGTCTCCGAAGCAATGGCACCCGAAAGGGCTTGCAGAATGACCTGGAAGGAACTGATAAAAATGCAGATTCGTTAATATCTAAATGCGTGGCATCTCTTTTGTGGGGCCACTCACTCAAAAGATTTTTCCTCGGCGCACAAAACTAGCTCGCCCAGTCCGAAATAGCAATTCTGGCGCGCCTTTGGTTCGGGATCATTTACGCCCTCGACGAAAATGGGGCACAGAGTATCAAAATAGGTGACAACACAGTTGCCCAGCGATTGGAAAGAGTCGGCCAGAGCGCCATATACAAAAGTGCGCTGCTCGCTCAAATCATTTCGCTTGGCCTTGTTCTGCAAAGCAATCGAAAGGATATGTTAATTTGATTTCGATATGGATATATATTTGGATGATCCGCGACATACCAGCTTGTTTAAGTAGTACTGATAGACGCGTCCAAAGTACATGGAGAATACATCTGGTGCTAGGGCTTTGCCAAAGGCTGGCAACAGATTGCCAGCATTCTCCAAAAGCAATTCGTCAAATTCACTGTCCTCGGCATCATCCTCGTCACCGCCGCCGGTTGGCTCATTAAACTGGCAAGCCATTTTATTGTTAAGGACATCCTTGATGCAAGCAAAGATTAAGTCGGCAATTTCCTGCGTGGGCACCGCAGTGGTCTTCACTTCAATGAACAGTTCGCTCAGCATATCAAGCAAATGTATGACCACGCTCTGTTCCTCATCGTTGCGGATCATATGGGCGAATTTAGGCATGATAATCAAGCAGGCGCGCTTAACACCCTCACCATCGCCCATTTTGTGAAGTGCGATCACAAACGAGCAGATCGCCTCAACGGCCGACTTGCGTACATTTTCCTGGGGATGCTCAATCACCTTGTACACGTTCTCGAAAGATATCTGCAGATATGGAGCAAAGGCGCTGCCGGTGTTGACGGCAAATTCTTTGAGTGCGAGTATGGCCTCCTCCTTTTCATAGACAAAGTCATTCTCCACCTGATAACCATCATCATCATCGTCATCCTCGTCGTCTGTGTTATCCAGATCAATGTCATTTTCAGTGGCCGGCTCTTCGGGGAACAAATTGTTACCAGCAGCGTCATCCTCATTGGGAAGCATATCATCCGTAGATATAACCGATTCGATAAGGCGATCAATGATTTTGGGAAAGACCGTGGACATGCTCTCGTTAACCACAATGGACAGGGCACCCATTAGATTGTAGATCGCGCGTCTAAAGTCCGGATCATTGGGCCCCTCATCCAACATCATAAGGCAGTAGGCCATCGTATCATTGGCCAGCGGTATAAAGTTATCTTTGCCCACAACACGTGTTATGGAAGCCAGCGTATCGATAGCCTCGTTGCGCAGCTCCTTCATGTCTTCGGCGCATTCCTTAACCAAATAATTCTGCAGTATTTCAACAATTTTGGGAAAATATGGCATCAAATGCTCCTTAGCAGCCAAAGCTGTCGCCGAGATAGCCGACAGGGCCAGCACACGCAGATGCACCGAATTCTGGGGATCCAGCGTATCGAAAAGACTGCAAGAATATGAAATTAACAAGGAAACTTAAATGGCATCCAGTCATCTATATCTTACCGATTCATCAATAGAGGCAAATGTGGCACAATATCCTCTTCCAGATTCTGGCAGTACGTTTCCAAAGCGTAAAACATGCGATCAGTGTGCTTCGGTTCCGGATTGCCACTCTGCAAAATCGTGCAAATAAAAGATATAGCCGAATAAGCTTGATTACAGTCTACTTGTGTGCTGGGGTGTGAGAGCATGCTTCAAAATTAGTGCTGTCCATAAATACTTGCGTCCTTAATCTCTGATACCTGATGCTCAATTGATATTTTGAGTTTTACAACGCATGTAATTGGAATTAATATCAACTAACCCAAGCATCTTTCATATAAGGGAATAAGCACGCTGGCAAAGTGTTTGGAAATGAACTTTTCTATATCCTCAACTACAATATTAAGTTGCGGCAATACGAGAAACAATATGAACAAGTTACAACAGTTACTTATCTTCGGGTTGCCGAAGAGAAAATACCCTTGCAGACATAGGCTTAAAGACTTCAACATGAGACCGGATTTACATATGCGTATGAAAAGCAAACTTAAGAACCAAAAACCTATTTTGCATAAAAATATACAAAAAGAGCATACAATATCACTGATCAAAAATATATATACTACTCTATGGGAGCAGAGATTACATTACCCTCTGCAAGAGTACAAAAAACAATTCCACAACAGGCAAAACACATTTACAGTGAGATGAAGTGTTAAAAAAAATGGATTAATTGATTAAGAGCTAGGAATTTGAATTGAGAGAAAAGCACCCTGTATTTGGTGAGAACTGATTTTCGTTTAATTTGGAGCTGATTTATGTACTGAATGGTATCTTTGCCGGGTACGGGATTCGGCTCGTTGCCGTTTTGCTCAGCCTTTTGGACGCAGCACAAACAAAATAAGATAATTATCATGTAGATTATAATAGACATATGCCGCGGGTAGCTTACCTTCAGCTCAATCACCAGCTGCTGCAGAAAATCAAATAGCACGGGCAGAATCTGTGGTGCGAACTTCGATATTTCCGGCTGCAGATGCTCGGAAAACTGGCCCAGCGCAAAGAAGCTGGCAATGCGCACAATTGGCGAATTGTCGGCAATGCCGCTCTTGACGATATTCAACATGACTTCCAAATACTTGGAGCAAATGGCCTCCGAGCAGCCCTCGGCGATGACAGCAATGCAAAGGAAGGCAGCACGACGTCGCAAAGGATCCGGATTCTGCAATGCCGGCTCGAGCAGCTGCAGCAATGGCGGTATCAGTCGCTCCGCGGACATATTGATGGCCAGCAAATCGAGGGTTTGTGTGGCCGCCGTAACCGGGCTGTTGCTGCTCTCGCCCGTAAATAATTCATCTGCATACGGAAGAAAAGATACATATCATAAAAATTTCAATTAGAGCGTGCAGGACTTTTTCTTACCATCGTCCAGTTCCGTTTCGCAGCACATCATCTCAAATATGACGGATATTATGGGCTCGAGCAGCTTCTGTTTGACGATCGCCTTCTTCTTGATGCGCACCACACGCCCAATAAACGTGACCACCTGGACGCGTATGGAGTCATCGATTTGCTTATTGTTGGCCGTTTCGAGGCAGAATTCAATAAGAGGCTTCACATTGTTATTAAGCAGCTTTGGCACATACTCGGCAATGCTGTCAATGACATCGAAAACTATAGAGAACTCCTGCTCATCACCTTTCTGGGCAAAGGCAAAGACCGTCTTAATGATGAGCGGCAAAACCTTAAGCACAGTCTGCTCGGCGCTCGTGTGACCGCTCACGAACGGCATCAGATAGCTCATGCCCATGGTTATGTTGGCGACAGTGGGCGTGGCCAGATTACCCTTGGCCTCTGCGGACATAAGAACAGCGGCAAACATCTGGCAAATGGAGTCCATGTGACTGACAAATTGATCGGGAGCCGCATCGGTAAGAGTGGCAAATATCGAGGAGCCCAGCTCACTCTCCGTGGGATCATCCACACTGCAGCGGCTAAAGATGAAGTTCAACAGTTCCGTCAGCCACGAGTCTTTCTTCTCCTCCTCGTGACGCACCAAGGAGCCAATAAACTGGGCAATTGCATTCTTCACCGACTTCTCCTTTTCGGCAATCAATGCCTGCAGCATGCCGGTCTTAATGCTGCAAAGATTGCAATTTGAATCAACCCTATTTAGACGCTATAACGCGCTGCTGTTGCTTACCTTTCCTTCTGCTCGGCTGGGACCATTTGCCAGTTGCGCAGCTTCTGCAGCCGCTTGTTCAGCAGCACGGCGGCAAATTGGCGCACTTGCGGCTCCCGCTGTGACACCACAATCTGACATAGTGCCGGCAGCGTGTCCGGATTTTCGTAAGCCTTGCCCAGCTCATTGGTCGCCTAGCAACAAGAATATAAAAGATCAGACACATGTGATTTTACACATAAATTAATTAATAGCCGGCAAATATGTATATGTGTGTGTGTTTGTGTATGTATATGGATGTGCAAACAACGTGCTTTGAATCATAGACATTGCATATATAAACGCTAGAAAATGACGTCTGCAACCGACTGCGAACTACTCTGGAATTCTTTGTTTAGGGCGTTGTGGTCTGAAAACCAAGATTCAAAGGCTGTGAAATATCGATTTTGCTATTTTTAGGCAGTTTTGCCGCTACTTTTCGCTAATTTCAGAGATCCTTAGCAGGAAACTCATTTTTCCCGCCAAAGTGCGCCTGAGAAAGCCAATTCAACTATTTTAGCGATTTTTAACATTGAATTCAGCTACTTTCCGACAGTTAGCAACACTTATCCCTTGTAACCTGATTGGCAAATTTTCGTACATACATATTTGCGGGATTTGTCAGACACCTTTTTAGCGTGGAAATTCATATATATTCTAAGCGTGGTATATATTGTTTTCAAACATGCCAACGGCAATATACTATTTTTTACTCTGCGAACAGAGTATCAATATACAATATATATATATATATATGTGTGTAGGAATGTGTCTAGTATGAAAATGTGCACATGGTATAACGATTTCATATATGTACATATTTAAGCGAATAATAACTAAGGGAATTTTATCGCCAATTCCATTGTATACACACGTGCCAAGGTGCATAAAGTACTTTAAAAGCAAAATGGAGACAGTTGACATTTGGCAAATGGGCGCCTTTATAGGCGTCGGCATATTTTTTTCTGGTTAAAAGGAGTCGTTTGTGTGTGCAATTAATATGCCGGTAGCTTACCTGACGTATGCGTTCAGTGTCCGTACACAATAAGCCGGCGATGATTTGGTCCAACACAGCGTCCATTTTTTAATGCTGTTCAAAATCAATTGGCCTCGCACAGCAAAAATCCAAGGAGCACTTATTTAATATGCCGCCGAAGCACGAGCCCGAAACGACTGTTGGCGAATATTTGCGAAAAAGTGTGGTGTGGTGGGCTAGGGCTGAAAAGCACAACAGCACCACGTTTTCAAACTGACAGGGCTACAACAAATATATAATATATGCAGTTTTGATTTGTTTAAAGTCTGACAATATTCACACTCAATAGATATATTGTTAATTTTGGCATGTGATACATATATTGACCTGCCTACTTTGTTAAATAGCTTTAAATTAAAAACAAAAGTTCTTAACATAGCTTCGATATTATTATACTGAAAAAAACGATACAAAAAAAAAAAAAAAACATCGAAAAGTGTGACCAGTTCTGTGTTCGTTCAGTTCGTGAGTCACGAGCACCATTTTGAACGCTAACGACGCGCGTTTTCTTATTACTTACCAAAATTGATTGTTTTGTGTTTTAATTGTTTGTTATTGTTGTGCGTTAAATGGATAAAAGTGCTAGGAACCATAGCGGTAACAGTCAGAGAGATCAAAACTCCTTGGGCATACTTAGCATGGAGAACCTCAGAGGTAAATATTGTGCAAATGGAACAGCTGCTCCAACTATATCTTATTTTAAATGTTTAGTTTTTGGGGACATGTCCGGCATGAGTAAGAGCGGCAGTGCAAATACGAGCAGGGAATCACTGAACATCCAGGAGCGACTCAGGGTAAGCAAGTCAATTATATTTGAGGAAAGCAAACAAAAAAAAAAAACGCGCGCTTTAAAATTTAGGCGGGACGACTTAAGGCAATGGAGACGCTGGAAAAACCACGTCCACGCTCCAGCTATGCATTTGAGGAGAGGAATTATGCTGCTCCAGGAGGCGACAAGGTTAAGCGTAAGTGCTCGCTCACCATTAATTGAGGCACAATATATTCCATACATCGTTTTGCAGCCAGAAATCGTGGTAGTATTGCGTCTAGTCGTGGCGAAAACAGCACAAACATATCCGATCTGATCACTGAGGAAACCATTGACCTCAACTCGAGTGGCTCCGTTTTGATGGCGACACCTGCACCCGCGGGCACAAACATATTCTTTGAGCCGGCCGAGATTACGGGCCGCTCAACGTTGTGCAAAGGCGGTAAGAATGAATCGGCCAGAAAGAGCAGCGTTATCTCCGTCGCGGACATACTGAAGTCCTCCTTTGTGGAGAGGGCCCGTGTGCAATTTGCCAAACGGCTGGAGCACATGCCTGCCACTGAATTCACAAGCAGCAGCAGTCTCAGCGATTCTTTTAGTTGCTCGCGTAGCTTGCCGCGCACTGCGGACCTGAGTAATGCGAGTCTTAATGGTGGCTCAGGAATTTCGTTCGGCTCCGCCACGGGTCAGGGCTTTGACGAGAGTTTTGCTCCAGCCGAAATGATGCAGTCACAGCTTGTGATGGGCGAGATATCGTGGGCGCAAGAATTTGCAGCCGTGCCAGCGGCAACGCTCAGTAAACAGGCATTGCAAAAGATTTCGGCGCCGCCGCAAACGCCCGAAATTGAGACGTCAAGGTCCAAGTAAGTTGAATGTGCTCCGTTTAAGAAACGATTATGACAGTACAACTTTGCAGCTCTGTTATTGCCGGAGACCCCAACTTTTCGCTGGGCAACTACTTTCAGATGCGTTCGGAGAACTTATCATTCATTGTGGGCAGAGCGAGTCGCGACAAGATGCAGCCAGGCGAGGCTCTGATCGACCAGCACAACACAACGGTAAGCAGTGCAGGCGAGAAAACGCCACAAGTCGATAACAAAACCTATACAAAGATCGAAAGCGCCAAGATGGAGCGCAATCTGATGAAGAAGATGCAACAGGATAAGTTTAATAAGGCACTGCAGGCAGAAACAAAGAAACAGCCAACCAGCTCGGAACTGCTCAGCTTGTCGGCCATAGATGAAGCCTTGCGTAAGTAGATACAGTAAAAGCTCCTTTGAGTGGATAAGTACCTAAAGGGTGATTCTAGATAAATATCATAAATTGGTTTTGATTTAATAGGCAATCTGGACATGAATTCGGACACCTCCGTTGGCGATGTTGTCAATAGACTGCGGGCCCGTGGGTATGGCTATGATCCGGACGACGAAGATAAGGAGAATGAGCATAGCGACGACACGCTGTGCAAATCCAAGTCCGGTACCAAGTTCACGGACACAATGAGCTTTACGGATTCGCTTTTGAATTCGACTGACTTTCAGCAGCTGCAGAATAGCATGGCATCAACAAAGAAGCGCCAGCCGCTGAGCCCACTGGCTGACTTCATGCCAAGCCAGCCCAATATACTGGTGACGGCTAGCGATGATTATGATCAGGATCACGATGCCGACATAGATGAATGGCCCTCGACACCGGTGAAGTCCCCTGGACGTCATATGCGCCGCACCAAATCACCACATTCCCAACGAAATGTCAGTCCAACGAGCAGCGATGGCGTACAGCCACTGCCCACTACCGATGAGGATGCGGATGCAGACGAGGATAAGACGCCGGTTAACAAGAAACGCAATCTAACTCTGCCCGCTATAAGCAATCAAAACTCGTTCTGTTCCACGCGTCTGGATGGCTGCGATGCGGTGCCATCGTCCAGTGAATGTGATTTTGGCATATCACCAAATTTGGGCCAAAGCGTGTCTGCCGCCAATTTGCGTCATGTGTCGCCGTTATCGTCGCCGCGCAGCTGTCTGTCCTCGCCGCTGCTGGACAGCACAACAAACTCGGAGCGTCGCCTTCTGCTAACCGGCTCTGGTGCGGCACGCAGAGCCAACACCTCGCCAGCTCCCAGCGAGGCCAGCTCCACGAGTGGCTTTAATGCATTACGCAGAGTTGGCAATGGCACCCAAATTAACGCAGCGCCACGCAGCACTTCGCGCTGCTCCAACTCCAGCGAGTTCAGTCATCGCGATGGAAAACTGCTGCCCCTGAAGGTGACCCATACGAGCCTGTGCTGGGGTAGCACAAAACTGCGTACGGATGTGCGCAAGTGCATGCAGATCAAGAACACTTCCGACAAGCGTCTGGTGGTTCGCCTGTGCATACAGGGACCTGGCTTTCAGCTGGTCAGCGGCGATGGAAACTCCATTACCCTACAGTCCATGGAATGCCGTAGCATAGGCATCACCTTCTGCCCGACGGTCAGCGGCGCAGCCATTGGTGCGCTCTCGTTCTATGCGCCCTTTGGCACCAACAATTGCCAGCAGCCGGGAATGGAAATACCGTTGTATGGCTACGGTGGTAACGCCTCTATAACTATACAGGGACTACTTAAGGGGCCGGTCGGTGCCAGCTTCCTTACCGTCGGCAATGTGTGCGAGCTGGCCTCGGGCCCGCTGACTGCCAGCTTCAAGTTCTACAACAAGGGACCGCTGACAGCCTTTGCGGGCATCACAATTGATTCGACAGTGTTTTTGAAGCCGCGCCTTAATGCCGCCTTCGAGGTGCGTCCCAGCAAGATTATTCTGCCGCCGCACAGTGAAGCTGTGGTGGAAATTGTCTTCCGACCAAATCGCGAGGACATCAAAAACATACTGAAGAAGACGTCGCAGGTACAGACACTGGCAAATATGCGAATCTTCTGCGGCGACGAGCCCAACCGGCAGCGCATGCGCGCCCTAGTGCAGCGCATGACTCGCGAACAGCGGGAGCAACTGACCTCATCCATGCTGGACAACATCTTGTGCCGCTTCCCAGGTGAGCAATCCATTCGCAGTTTGGCCATGCTGAACGAGCCGCCTGAGTTCATACTCGATCTGGTGACGGTGGTGCGCATTATTGATGTGGCTCTGACCCTGAACCGCGACTTTGACGAATCCGCCGAAACTTCGCATCTGTGTTTGCCAGACGCCGAGGAGACGGTGCTATTTCGTACCGTGTGCGCCGCTAATTCGCCGACGCCCAGCAATATGCTGGAGCCCGTTGATGAACTGCATGAGGCAGATACGACTTCCGCCATTGAACAGCAGCCGCTGGATCGCAACTGGTCAGTGGAGCCGGAGGCCATAGAGCTTGATTTGTCCACCGGTGGCCATGCCATAGACGGAGTCAAGCTCTTCATAAGGAATAGCTTCAGCTCACGGCAGTATATTGAGTTGAACTGTAATGTGCCAGGTTTGCTACACATTACACCCAGCGAATGCTATGTGGCACCCGATGGTGGCCAAGTAGAGGTCCTGGTGCGGCCGCTACGCACTCCAAGCCGAGAAATACTTAAAAAGCAGATGCAGCTCCTCGTCGAGGTGTCTATGGAAAATGAACGTATTAATGTGCCCGTTACTTTTAAAGTTTGAATTTATAATTACCGTTTTGTGAGATTAATTTTATTTTTTAGTTATTTTCATTTGCTTGTCATGCTATATAAAGAGCTATTTTTAATTTTAAAAGAAATTTAACTGCGCAACGGAAAAGTATGCCACAAAGCAAGTGTAGAACAACTGCTGTTGGTATATTCGGGTATTTTTGTCGTACTTTGAGCTGGCCACACTGCTCGCATTCACCAAAACAAATTTTTACATGCGGTGATTTGGTTTTTAATTTGTTAATAACAAAAATAACTTAGCAGTGCTATAAAGGCGTTACTTTTAGTTGACACAGACCGATAAAATGCCTTCCTATGAATTGGCGCTGGTGCTGCGCCAGCTTCCGCGGGTTTGTACGAAACACAACAATGCACTTGTTATGTAAAGTAAATATAAAAAAATGTGCGTTTCCTTGTAGCCGGAATTAATTTCAGTCATAAAACGCACAGCTGAAGCAATATTCGATAAAGGCGGCATTATTCGCAAGTTTGAAAATCTCGGAACACGTGCCTTGCCATTCAAGGTAAGCGAACATGGCGTTGTACACCGGGAAGCGACCCACTTTACGATTACGTTCGACACGGCGCCCACAAAACTGTCGGATCTCAAGGAGGAGTTCGGTCGAGACATCGATATAATACGCAGATACATCTTCAAGGTGGAGGAACCAGAGGAATACAAGTGCACATTGCATGAGGAAATGCTGCCGCCAGCCTATCGCAAGGATGTGCAGGAGTTAATTGATATCGCCAAAAGGAAACAGAAGCCTAAATATAACTACAACTCAGGACTGGACTATTATCCCTTCCAGAAGTAGACTCAAAGAAGGTTTGAACAATAAAAACTGAACTGTTAAACATTTGTAGATTGTCTTACTATATCTAGTACCTATGAATACTTCGGCATTATGAACTGCTTGAGTTCGTTGATGAAATATTTAGTTTATCAGGCAAGTTCACAACGATAGGTCTTTATTGAGTTTATGGTACACAATTAATGTTATCACCAATTGATAAACAGGCGTAATCAAATCAGCCATAACTTACAGCGCCTGCGAACGTACTTATAAATAGTCGTAGTCCAATAGTCAATCGTTGAGGCAGAACATTTCAAATGGCACCCCAAATACGTGAAATCTCTGCGGAACTGCAAGCAACTGCTAAGGAGCGCCTTAACGAGGATCCTGATCGCATTGAAGCCGACCTGGAGGCACTGAAGACTTGGATCGCGCAGCAGCCGCATCTTAATCCACGCACAGATGATCAGTTCTTGGTCGGTTTTCTGCGCGGCTGCAAGTACAGCCTGGAGAAAACCAAATCGAAACTGGATAAGTATTACACGTTGCGTACCAAATATCCAGAACTTTTTAGCGTAACTGATGTGGACGATCCCAAGCTGCGAGAGATTCATCGAATGGGGTAAGCTATTGATAGCGGTCACCCATAAAGATCACTCGATAATCTTTAGCCTGCCATATTTAGACCAATAGTCTATCTACCCAACACACTTGACGGAGCCCGGATAGGCATGTTTAGAATAGGTATTACTCCTACTGATAAATACAACATAGTAGACGTAATGCGTGTTGGACAAGTTATGCAGGAGATTGGACTTTTGGAAGATGATAATGCCATAATTAATGGAGTTGTTTTAATAATGGATATGAAGTCCGCAACGGCAGCACATATGTTCCAAATGACCCCCGGACTGGCAAAAAAGATGACAGTATTCAATGAGGAGGCGTTTCCTATGAGGCCGAAGGCTCAGCATTTTGTGAACACGATTCCAGGCTTCGAGACCGTGTTCAACATGATTAAACCCATGATGTCCAAAAAGCAACAGGAAAGACTCTTTGTTCACGGAAAAATGGAATCATTAACGGAACATGTACCTTTGAAATATCTACCCAAGGAGTATGGTGGTGAGAATGGCTCCATTGAGGAAATTGTGGCGGAGATGGACAAAAAGTTTGATCAATATAGGGATTACTTTAAAGCTAATGCCCAATTTGGCACCGACGAAAAGCTGCGTCCAGGTAATCCAATTGATTTTGATAGCCTTTATGGTACGGAGGGCTCATTTAGAAAGTTAAATGTAGATTAGGAAATGTTTCTTATTAAAACGTAAGGGTTGAGAATTTTATAAAACAAATGGTCGTCTATTTCCTACAACAAATTTATATTGTGATTTAAAATTATTAAAAAGGCCGATATCTACTGTGACGATTAATTATCGATAATATCGATAGTGAAGTGGACAAATTGACAGCTCTACCCCATGTGACTTTGACGTATGGAAAAAAACAGCGTTTAACAGCAAATATGATGTTAACGGAATTTAGTTTGTTGCATAGTTCTTGGCATTGATATAATGTTAAATTCAAGACGATTATCTCTAAACTAGCGTGTTATAGAATCGTTGTGTGTTTTTAAATATCGGGTGTTGCAATTTCGCATCAGACTTGATTAAATTTGTGATATAATGTGTTCTAATTTTCCAGCTAAGCGAAAAAATTTAAGTAGCGACCACTGCCTACTGTTAATAACAGTTCAATGTTAATGTTAAGTCGGTTATGTGTTAATTAACATCCCTGTGTGTCATGACGTATGTGTGCCTGACTTATGGAAAAAAGTGTATCACATAACTCTGTCGTAGTTGTATTTTTTATTTAATTGGGACGTAAATTTAGGTAAATTTGTGGCTTGCAACTGGCCAAAAGCGGTTGTGGATGCCAACAAATTAGTCAGAGTTTACGAATCAACCAACACTGTGTTAAATCGATATCTATATGTGTACCTAAACGAGTATCCTATAATTTTGAGCACGCGTTTGTAGAGTATTTTGCGTTGCAAAGATGCATTCGCTTAATTGGACATCGCGTTTAATATCACGGGCGTTACGTAGCAGCTTCTCAACGCTGCTCGATTCGGCATCGGGTGCCACAACCAAAGGTGCTGCAAAGCCAACACCAAATCGATCTCGGCCACGATTCGTTTCGGTGGTTTGTGGCTTTGCCAAGGACAATCTGCGACACAAATACAAGCCTGGCAAATACGGCGAGGACTCGTGGTTCAAGGCATCCACAGAGTCCGCTGATGTGATGGGCGTGGCCGACGGCGTCGGCGGCTGGCGCAGCTACGGCATCGATCCGGGCGAGTTCTCATCGTTCCTTATGCGCACTTGCGAGCGTCTGGTGCGCTGCACCCACTTCAATCCGCAACGACCCGTCAACCTGCTTGCGTACAGCTACTGCGAGCTAATGGAGCAAAAGAAGCCCATACTTGGCAGCAGCACGGCGTGTGTGCTTATACTGAATCGAGAGACGAGCACGGTGCACACGGCGAACATTGGGGACAGCGGTTTCATGGTGGTGCGCGAGGGCGAGATTGTGCATAAGTCGGAGGAGCAACAGCACTACTTCAATACGCCGTTTCAATTATCACTGCCGCCGCCCGGCCATGGCTCCAATGTGCTCAGCGATAGTCCCGAATCGGCGGACACAATGAGCTTTCCCGTCAAGGAGGGCGATGTCATACTGATCGCCACCGACGGTGTCTTCGACAATGTGCCCGAGGATCTGATGCTGCAGGTGCTGCGCGACGTGGAGGGCGAACGGGATCCGGTCAAGCTGCAAATGACCGCCAACACGCTGGCCCTGATGGCCCGCACCCTCTCCCTAAACAGCGAATTCCTCTCGCCATTCGCCATCAGCGCTCGACGCAACAATATACAGGCGCGCGGCGGCAAGCCCGACGACATAACTGTGGTGCTCGCCACCGTGGCGATGTGAACTAAGTCGTCCTAATCCCTAGTTATTAAATGTAATTAATTTTGTAGTTTGTACTCGTTTAGTGTTTAGGAGTGAGTTTTGTCTATGTTTAAGCTGCATGTTGAGATTGTGAGGACAGACAGAGAGACACACAGACAGACAGACAGACACTTCAATTGTTAGTTACATATACCCACGACCACGCCCACTCACACACATACACAAACACATACTAAACGAACTATCGACGCATCCTGGTGAGGCGACCCCAGCAATTAATCCAAGTCTAAAGCGTATGCAAAATGCCTTGAATCATATATATATAAATATATTATGTATAAGTAGAAGCGCTTTCAAAACGAAACAATTATCAGCCGAAATGATCGTTGTCGTCAATAGCAACGGTTACGAGTTCTAATCAATTATTAAATGCGACATACATTACTTACATACATACATGCATACATAATATATATACCCACAACCCAAAAACATTTAAAAATCGTGGGGAGTTAAAATGCAAATGCTTTGCAATTATTGAACTGAGGATTATATCCAGGCGACTGTCCGACGAACTGTTAGTCAAATGTACTCACTGATATTGCGATTTAATAAAAAAAAATATTCATTGAAATTAAACAATATAAAAGAATTTGTAATTTTTCCATGACTGCTGAAAATATGCATGAAATGCATGCATTAATGTAAGTAAAGCACAGCTATGCGAGAGACGGGTGCAAAGGTCGTTCAATCTATTTTTGTTTGTATCGAGACCAAAGGTTAATTATTCGTACTTCTATAGCATTCGGTCAGTGTATATGTATATTTGAGTGCAATTTATAGACATCATACTAGCATTAGTTCGTTCACGAGTTATATTGCGCAGTCCTTGTCCGGATCAATAGCGTGAGTGACGCGCACATCTCTAACGTCATGGCGCCAGCTGTTGCGCCAAAACGCGTCGTTAGCCAACACTGAGGCGAAGCGCACCAAAACAAAAGCTAAAAAAACAACAAAGAAGCAGTGCGAAAAACTTTTTCAGCGCAAATGGAGCCCTAATGAAAATGAAAATTCAATTTAACAATAAATATTAAAATGAAGCTCTTCAAATTAAACACGCACACGAGGGGCTGCAATAAGTCATACGGTAAGAGAAGCAAACAATAAATATGATGCCATTAAAAGCAGTTAATATGGTTTTGTGCGTGTGCAGATGCCGACTTGGTGCTGAATCCACAGGATCATCCAACGGCCAAGGTTGGCGACGTAGTAGAGATCTATGCACCCGACGATGAGAACGGCACCCATTTATTGCTACAAATAACCGAATTGAACGAGCAGAGCAAAACGGGCCGCAATGTGATAAGCATAGAGTCGTGCATAGCCATAGCTTTCAAGATGCGCTCCTATTCCAATGTCGTAATGCGCATTGTGAATCCCGCGGACGTTGCCCTCGATTCCATAGAGATTACTTTCAAGGATCAGTACATGGGCCGCTCGGAAATGTGGCGACTGAAGACTTATCTGGTAAGTGCCCGAAACGACAAATAGTCCCAAATAAACGTTGCCTCTTTCTGCTCCATAGACAAATACCTGTGTGTACGTGAACAAAAAGATTGACTATAATGACATGCAGATACGCTGCCAGGTCTATGAGATGTGGTCGCAGGGCGAACGCGTCGCTAGTGGCGTCATCACGGACGACACCAAGATCGTGTTCCGCAGCAGCACCTCGATGGTGTATCTATTTCTGCAAATGTCTTCGGAAATGTGGGACTTTGATATACACGGCGATCTGTACTTTGAGAAGGCTGTCAACGGCTTTCTCACCGAGCTCTTTCAGAAGTGGAAGAAGCTGGGCTGCAATCACGAGGTGACCATCGTACTATTCTCGCGCACCTTCTATGCGGCCAAGAGTCTGGATGAGTTTCCCGCGCACATGCGTGACTGCCTGCAGCAGGACTACAAGGGTCGCTACTACGAGGACTTTTACCGCGTCGCCATACAGAACGAGCGCAACGATGATTGGTGCACGGTGCTGGCGCAGCTGCGTAAGCTCTTCACCTCCTATCAGGAGACGGTGCTGCGCTATCATGAGCGCCAGAATATGCGCATTCCGCTGGCTACGAACTCGACGGCCACGCAAGGCAACTTTCTGGAAGTGCTCAATATATCGTTGAATACCTTTGAGAAGCATTATCTGGATCGCACCTTCGATCGCACCGGCCAACTGTCTGTCGTGATTACGCCCGGCGTGGGCGTCTTCTCCGTGGACCGAGAGCTGACCAACATAACCAAGCAGCGCATCATCGACAATGGCGTCGGCAGCGATCTGGTGTGCGTGGGTGAGCAGCCGCTGCATGCTGTGCCGCTGCTTAAATTCCACAACAAGGACACCACGCTGACCTCGGCGGATGACTACTCGCTGCCGCATTGGATCAACCTGAGCTTCTACTCCACCAACAAGAAGATTGCCTATTCCAGTTTTATTCCACGCATTAAGCTGCCGCTCCTCTCCCATGTCGATGAGACCGATGTGGAGGAGAATGAGCGCAACTTTCTCAGCTGCAATCAGTCGGAGTACATACACAATTCCCTATTCGACTATGATGCGTACGATGAGCAAATCTTTCAGCCGCTGCCCGCGCAGAGCACCTGGTAAGAAAACATTCTTAATGGAGCAGGAGACATCTCTGACTCTATAAAGTATATACATTCTAGATAATTATATACAACTTATCCTTCTTTCAATAATTGCAGCTCGCTGCAGCGCGTGGTGCGCGCCAAGAAGACATCGGTGCCCAGCTTTGAGACATACGCATATCGCAACAATGACTGGGAGAACCTGACGCCCACCAAGATACCCAGCTTGCGTCGGAAAATGTCCGATCCGGACATACATCACGGCACCTCGGGCATGCTGGCCACGCTGACAGACACCACCAACTTGTCTGAGTCGCTGGCCTCGGAGAAGAATGCGCGTCGAGCCATTGTCAGCATTGCGCCAATTGTGCGTCCGGGTCGGGCGCTCATCAATCCCTTTGATCCCTCACATGTGACCATCAAGTTGACCTCCAATCGACGTCGTTGGACGCACATTTTTCCCAAGGGACCGACAGGCGTGCTGATACAGCAGCATCATTATCAAGCGGTGCCCGCCAAGGCTGTGCCCGCGGCTAGCTACAATCGCCAGCTGCAGCACTCCAACAGCAACAACAACAATAACAATGATCAGGAGGAGCAATATGATCAGTTGTCCAATCACTCACTGATTAGCCAGAGCAAGTCCTTCAGTTCGCAAAACTTTGCCATGGGCGAGGACAAATCCGATTGTGAGTAGCCTTTAAGTTAGCCCAACCAGATTGATAACTTCTGCTTTACAGTTTTCAAGAGACGCAACACTTCGCTCGTGAATGCCGCGACGGCTGCGAATGTGCCCAATCTGACGGCCACGCAGGCCAAGTCCTATCTGTGGGGTGCCACAGGGGAGCAGGAGTGGACGCCAGCAATTACGACGGGTATGTTTGCCAAGCTCTTTTTTATTTAGCTACTAATTCACAACTGTGTGTGGGATTTGTTGAAGATCTTATCGAGGGGCGGGTAGGCAACTGTGACTGCAGCCAGTTGCAGTTGTCTTTGGGCTTTTCCGGGCAATCATGTTGCCACTGCTGCTGCCCCTGCTGCTCCAGCTGCAGTTGGCTGTGAACGGCACGAATGTGGCGCAGTTCTTGGCGCGCATTGGACGCGTGCATCAGCTGCAGGCCATAAGCATAGTGCACAGCACCGGCGCCACTGATGCGGGATTTCTGGATGCACTGCATCTTCAGCTGCACCAAGAGCACAACTATTTCCGGCTGCTGCCCAAGCTCATAGCAACGGAACATTCGGCCGGGCAGTTTAACAGCGTGATGCATGACCAAACGCTATTTGTGATCTTTGCGCGGGACTCCAGGGATGCCGTAATCGAGCTGCAGGCGGAGCGCGCACGTAGACGTCGCTACTGCAAGACCTTCTTCCTGCTACGACGGGATGAGGCGCAAGCAGATCTAAGCAGCTTCTTTGAGTACCTGTGGCAGCAGGGATTTCGCTCGGCCTTGGTTATGGTGGCTCAGCGGCGTCTCTACCACATGGATCCGTATCCCACGCTGCGTGTGCTGGAACTGAGTGCCACGCAAAACGCAGTCACGCTCTTTCCGCCACCCAATCGACGTGATTTTATGGGCTACAAGCTGCGTGTGCCCGTGCAGCTGGACGTGCCGGCTACCTTCTGGTATCCAACTGAGCCGCATCAGCTGCAGCTGGACGGCGCCGGTGGCACCTTGATACGCGAACTGATGCATCATCTGAACGTTTGCCTGGAACTGTATCCACTATATATCAATGGCTCCAACAACATTAATATGCCCGCCCTGGTGCAGCTCGTGGCGGAGCAGCACGCCGAGCTAAGCCCGCATCAGTTTACGACATTGCAGCGCTCCAACTCTGTGGACTACTCCTATCCGTATGTGGTGCTGCCGCGCTGTTTTATGCTGCCGCTCGCCGCGCCCTTTCCGCGCAGTCTTTACGTGATTCTGCCGCTGCAGCCGACCGTCTGGCTTGGCCTGCTGATGATGTTGCTTCTGGTGCTGCTGATGCGTTACCTAAAGCGACGCCTGATGCCACAGCTGCCCCACTTGCATCTCTGGTCGCTGCTGGGCGTGCCCGGCAGCCAGGTTGGCCATTATACGCATATGTGCTGGTCGAGATTTGCGCGCTGCCTGCTGTTCTGTGGCGTCTTGGTCTTTGCCACCTTCATCATTGTCCAGCTGTACGCCACCAAGTTGACCTCGTCGCTGACGGTGTCGCTCAGCCCCAAGCCAAGTGTTACGCTGCCGGAGCTACTGCGTCTGCCATATCGCATACTGGTGCTGCCCGGCGATGTCAATGGCATTGTGTCCGCCTTCGGACATGCGGCTCAATTTCGACGCCAGTTTTATTTTACGAACGAGAACGATTTCTATGCCCAGCGTTTGGAGATGAGCGCCGGCTATATCTATCCCATAAGCACGCCGCGCTGGAGATTCCTGAGCCTGCAACAGCGCTATCTGAAGCACAAACGTTTCTGGCTATCGTCGCTCTGCTATGGCACGTTTCCCGCACAGTTTCAGCTGCGCATTGGATCACATTTTCTGGAGCCACTGCATCAGTTCGAGCTGCATGCCCACGAGGCTGGCTTGCCGGAGAAATGGCGCCAGCTCTATTATTACCGGGCCAAGCAGCTGGGCTATGTCCGTGATTTCGCCAGTGTTGAGCATTTCGAGCGGATGCACGAGGTCCGTCCATTGGCCCTCAATCTGCTGTCGTCCATTGTGTATCTATATCTGATCGGGCTGCTCGTTGGCCTCGGCGCGTTTCTCTTGGAGTTTGTCCTGTAAAAGTAGCTGCTACTAACCGCATTTGATATAGTTTTTAAGGCATTTCGAGTAATTTTAATCTCAACTAATTAACTTATGTATTTTTGGATATATCTCTCATTTCTTAACACAATTTATACCACACCGTAATGTTATCGACGAAAATTGACAACAAATTTGATATATCCATTAACTAAATATATACATATATATATACGTGTGTACCTATATATATGTATATGTATGTGTATATGTATTTGATGGCCAATTCACAAATCCCGCTACTCCACCACAACACATCAAATATCTGTGGCAATCAACGACAACAACTACGAAACCCCCCCCCCCCCCAATTGGATCAAAAACGAACGTAACCTCAAAAATCGAAAAATTCATCGTAATAACAATCGACTGGTATTGACATCGATATCATCGACAAATCGTGTAACGGTAATGTCTTAGATAACGGGACTGCGACAGGCAAACATATGAAACCAATTGTCGAAAGTGAACATTATAATTTTGGAAGATCACGGCTTGAGGCTACAACAGAAGCGGTCGGCAAAGGAAAAATCATCATAGGTTTGGCAAAAATAATCACAATTTTGTACAAAGCAATGCATCCCAACACACACACACACACACACACACACACACACATACACACTCATCCTCACATACACGTTATACACTGTAGTTTTTGCTAGAAAAACGTAGTTAGTTTTGTGTTTGTGTGTAGAATTTGCACATCATTTTGACTGAAGCACTTCGTAGTTGCTGTTTATATTGTATGTTATCGCTTTAAGCCACTTATCGATTCTTACTTAATACTAATTAACCGTAAAAGGCCATGATTTGGAGTAATAGATGGGCAGAAGTCGAGAACTAAGGATACCAACAGTTATTTATCGATAACTTCTTGGTATATCGATAAATATTGTTAGGTTAGAAAAGAGTTACCTATATCATTTGTTGTATAATTATTAGATAGATTGATAATTGGTTGGGAAAGTCTAACCTAATCCATTTTTCCATATTCATTAGATCTTTATCGATAAATATTTTTAGGTTAGGAAAGAGTTACCTATTCAATTTTTTTTATCATTAGATCTTTAGACTTAGACATAAATTTAGAGCTGAAGTTCATTTCTTTGAGGAATATTTTACTGTTGAAAATTAGTTTTTATACAAAAATTTCTTGTCTGTCCGATTTGTAGCATACAACCATGAAATTGACTAAACAATTAGATTAGATTTATTGCTAGATACATAGCTTTATCTTTGCCGCCTGTACATATAGCACATCCGTAAACGCAACGTTTCCACCGACAACATTTCATGGTCGAAGCATATAATTAGTGCTTATCATTCACCCCCCACCCCCGCGACATGCTCAACGCTCCACAATACCATGTAGCTAGTTATCCTGGTAAATCCACATAATATCTGTGCACACATCCATCCACAATTGAGATCAGGTGGTTTGGGGGCGTTGTATCCTCACGTTGCATGTGGCAGCATTTATTTATTGTTATCTTTGTAATGTTCGCATGCTTTTCAGCCACGCCCACTGCCCACTGCACGCACGCACCTGCCTTACAAAATGAACAAAAATTAATACAAAAACATTTCAAGCTGGTCTTAATTTTCGTACACTTGGAGCAACTGGTCCTAAATATAGCTTAAGCGATTTGAAATTGTGTAACTATATAATATCTTTAAACAAGATTTATATGTATATCTATATATATATATATATATAACTATCGTATCTCGTATCGGCGTTGGCTTTCTATTTGCGTATCTTCTTAAACACCCTCTGCCCTCTGCACGCTGCGGCGTCCGCTGCTTTGTTTGCTTCTTATCTATTTTGGCCACTTTCAGGCGTCGACTGGAAATCGCTGTCCATACCCGCCTGTCTGCCCATCACCACGGACTATTTTCCGGACAAGCGTTCGCTGCACAATGACTATGTCATCTCGGATTATACGCTGCTGCCGGATGATGTGAATCTGGACTATGCCAAGAGTCGTGCCGTCTATCGCAAACCGCTGTCCACGGAAGAGGTGTGCAAGGAGATTGTCTCACAGCGTTTGGCCCAGGGCTTTCAGCTGATTGTCGTCGAGGAGAAACAGCCCAGCTCCAGCAGCTGCTGCTCAGCCAGCGGCAGCTGTGCTCCTGCCAGCAATCCAACCACATCTGCTGTGCTGCCGGTGAAGCCGTCCTGCGAGTTGAACAGAGAGTATCTATTGTCCATTGGACGCATCTTTCACAAGATCACGCTGAGCGGCTCGGTTATCACTGTAACTGGCTATAGGCCCAGGTGAGTTGATTAGTTAAAAGGATTGTGTACTTTTTGTAAATACCTTTTCGCTTCCTTTAGGCATCCCTATCCGCCCATCAATGTGGATTATCGCTATCGTTTCCATGCGCCACAGCATGAGACCTATGAGATCTCTGGCGTAAATTTCACCACGGAAAAGCTGGAGAACTTTAGCTGGAATCACATGGATCTCTACATATGCACGCGTGGCGATGTCGACTATCCCCTTATGGAGGTAAGCATTGTGATCCGCGCTGCAGCCGCATTCAACCTTCTCCCGGCATCTTGCAGAGCCTCAAGTACTGGCGTTTCCGCATGTATCTGCTGCCACGCGAGAGCATGGTCAATAAGATCGTCAGCTTTGGCTGTCAGCGTTGCGATATCTTCACGGAAGCCGTGGTGGACAATACGCGCGAGCAGATTGAGGATTTCATACGGCTCATCGAGAATGTCAGCAAATTGAAGCGGCAGATTTGCCGCAAAGCGCGCGTAAGCTGTCCACGAAAATGCATACATATATATTTTCCAAATTTCGTTTAGTTTGTTATTGTTTCTCTTGATTCAAATGTTGTTATCGATCGTTAATCGATTTCTAGTTCCAGTTCCAGTTTTAGTTACACCATTCACAGTATTAACAGAGCTGTTGTCACTTACATTCGTTTATGGCAATGTTATTGTAGTGCTTACCGCTTAACATAATGTACATTTACAGGATAGCCCGACCACCCACAGCCTAACCAAGCGACGACACAGTACGAGCATTATATCCAGGCCTCTTAACCAGGTTATCTATACAACTACATATATATTAATCTTCGAATCTTCAATTTGATTTTTGGCGTTGCGCACATTTTGTTTCAATTTTGTCCTTTTTGTGTTCGATTTGCGCACGTTTTTATTTTCATAATATTATTATTTAAATGCGTTGTTGCTCATCATATTTTTAATCTTCTTCAATGTCTTCTGTCTCGCCTGCCCCCTCTCAACGCCAACCTCTCTGTCTGTGTACTGCGCAACTGCAACTCGTCCCTGCAGGGACCCACAAATTCACCGTTCCGTGAGCGTGTCGGCAGCAATCGCCTGCCGGAGAAGAGACCCAGGTTTTTATATCGTATCCAAATACAAAACACACACACACATGTATACACTCGTCATACACACACACAGCGATTTGCATCTGTATAAGTATTAATGCGCCTGCGAGCTCAGCTTTTTTTTTGTTGTAACGCCCCCTACCCTTCCCCGCTGTACAACAACGTGGTGACTGATTTTGTAGCTCTTCTATGTTGTTTGTGCACTTAGCTTGTAGTGTATTTTACTTATATACATATATATACTTATATTTTTTATTGCGATTTAATGCCTCGGCTCTTTATTTTTTTTTTCTTTATTACTATTTAATTTGGTATTTGGCTTTCAGCAGCATGACACACCCACACCTAGAATCACTGAAAAGAATCATAATCTATTAAACCCACCACAGCAAAGGTTTGTTCAAGTCCAGCGTATTTATCCTAGTTTTACCCATCCAGTTCCCAACAAACAAAAATCCCCACCCTTTACAATTGCCTAAATTGTCTAAATTTTAAGCAAGTGGGAGAGAGAGAGAGAGAGAGCTATACTACACTTGCTATTTTGCACAAATTTTGACATTTCTACACACTCACACATACATTATTCACGAAAACTCACCACCCTATTAAAAAGAGAGTGAACGGTAAAATCTGCACTTGCACAAATATTGACATTTCTACACACCCACACATTATTCAAGACAACTCACCACACGTTCATCACTAACGTATACTCACCACACCGTTACAATTGGCTTGCGTAATTGTAATTGAGAAAGAAACCTGGACTTGTAATTCGTACACAAACATTGAGATTCACTTCCTATCCTCCCACAACCAGTCCACAGCCACGGTTACTAAGCGTTTGCAATTTGTAAGCTTTATTAATCGTAAATCTCCCTTCACAGCATCAATGTGCGCCCCAAGCCGGATCCGAGTCGCATTTCGCGCATTCTTCCCGGCACGGATGCGGCGACAGCTGCAGCTGCAGCCTCGGCAGCTGTGTCACGTGACGATCAGGATGATGGGTAAGTGACCAATCTTGTAGTGCCTTAGCTTTGTTAATTGGTATCGCTTCCTTAGCTTCCCCGTGGACATCAAGTTCAGCGCAAATGCAACGCTCGCGGAAATGTTTGAGGCCATGAAGCATCCAGTTAATGGCGTTGGTTTCTTCACGCAAACCCAATCGCTGCCCTCCTGCACCTTTATCTCCTACGATGCGCTGATGTGGTTGAAGGCGCGTCTGACCAACGGTCGTCATCCGTTGGACCTGCTGGAGGCCATGCGGAAGTGAGTTGTTGATGGCTTTAACCAGCTGCCCAGTTTTATACTTCTTGGCGTTTGTTTTGTTTCACAGGGAGCGCATGATTTGCCACGCCTCCGGCGACTGGAATCAGCCCATTGTGCCAGGCTTTGTCTTCTATTATGTGGTGCAGCAGGACAGGAATGCCAAGGGTGAGTTCAACTGATGCCCAGCAGCTTTCAACTAATCCCACATGTTGCATCTAAACAGATTACGCGCCGCCGCTCAACGATTACAGCGCCTTTGTCAACGAGTGGCTGGAGATTGAGCTGCAGGGCTGCAGCTTTCTGTGGCACGACGAGCCGGCGCCATCGAATGTGCCCAACTTTTTGCGTGAGACGCCCGCACCGCAATCCTGGCGGGAATACTGCAAGAGCAGTAAGTATTCGGTTGCCCACTAACATTATTTTGACTAAATTAAATTGATTTGCTTGCAGAGCGCGTTTGTCGCAAGTCGCATTTGGAGATTGATGTCAATCAGAAGAGCGATCGCATGGAGTGGGGTCATGTGAAGCATCACACGGTCATGCAGCCAGGATTTGCCTTTGAGCTGGTCGTTGAGTGGGTCACCTCGTCGGGACCCATTGTATCAGACTTGGTAACTGCCAAAGCATAAGCTCTTGCTGTCCATTATTAATATTGTTATCTTTGCAGATCTCGGGCTGGATGCGCAAGGCGAATCATTGTGGCTATCAGCTGGTCTCCGTGCCGGCTGATCCCATGGCCGAGCCGTTTACAGAGAAGTCGGATCCGTTGCGGGGTCCCATATTCATTCCACTGTGCGTCACCTTTTTGCCAAATGGCGCCACTCTCTTTGATGGTCTGTATAGCCCGCTCTGATAATTCTACTTAACCGCTGACCGCTTCCTTCATTATAGAATTCCCTGAGGACAGCCGTGCAGATCGCATGCTCTTCCTGCAGGAGGCCATCCTGGCCAGATTTGGTTTTATGCCCTGCGTGCTCGAGGAGAAGTTCACCCAAAAGAAAGACGTAAGTTGTGCCCAAATCTGAACATATGTTGCAGCTGTTGCTGATCCAATTTACTTTATTGCAGCTGCCCAAAGAATACCAGTACGTGCATTGCACGGGCAATATGTTCGCGCTCATACGGTAAATACTATATTTAACACATCCTGGACAACACCTCATTCCCATCTGTCTTTCAGCTGCGCCAGCAACAAATTTCAGGTGGAGTCACCAAGTCGCCAGGAGGCGAACGTCACGCGTTGCGTTTATGGGCATACGAATAATACGAATGTGCCCAAGAAAGTGGGCTTTCTCTGGTCCTGGAATCACATGATACCAAACAAAAAGTGGAAAGCATTGACCATCAACAACTCCGCCGACGGTGAGCTTTTTCAGCTGAAAATGTTGAAGGATTTCCGTGAGTTCTGCTCGAACAGTGATCAGCGTTTGGCCAACTTCTGGGCACATTCCCAGGAGCTCAAACGCAAATCTCTGAAATTTGAGTACAACAATAACAACAACAACGATGAACCAAAAATTATATAGGCACTTGTTCCAGACGTAGTTTAAAGATTATTAAAGTTTTAAATGTTCTTATTGTAAAATTAATCACGAGTCACATTTTTGGATTCTGAAGAATCCATCTAATTGAGCCCGAGATACGAATCGCAGATTTTATAATATCCTCAGACTTTATTAACCCAAATTATTAACATTTAAAGTTTTTAAGAAAATTAAGTATTTGTATATCTTAGACAAGTATTTTGTAGTTTACCATTATATATTTGTGTGTGTCTTTATTTATGTCTGTATGTTGTGTGTGTGTGTGTTTATGTGTGTGTGCATTTATGTATATATGTATGCATGCATGTTTGTTTTCTAACGCCAACGCAGACCAAGCCTATTTGTCGCCGTGCTGCAAATTTAAATCAAACGAATTTCTGCCAGGTGCTCTCCTCCTCGATTCTCAAGAATTCAAGTAGGCTCAGCGGGCTTGCACGCTGAGCTAGTAGTGCAGTGTTTTTTTTTTGGTGTTTTTTTTGGTGTTTTTTTTTTTTTGTGTTTTTTTTTGGCCTTTTTGTATGTATGTACATTTATTTGTTTGTGTGTACATATGTATGTATGTATTTATGTATGCATGTAAGCATGCATGTATGCATGCATGTATGTACGTGTGTATGCAGGCATGTATGTATGTACGTATGCATTTATGCATGCATGCATGTATGTACGTATGTATGCATGTGTATGTATGCATGTGTGCATGTATGCATACATGCATTTATGTAAGCATGCATGCATGTATGTATTATGTATGCAAGGATGCATGCTTGTATGTGCGCATGTATGTAGGTATCCGAACATGTATTCATACATGCATGCTTACATGTTTGCATATATGCAACACAAAATTGCATACATGTACAAATATGCAAACTTAACACTTCGCCCAAAAAATAGTTTAATCGCATTTTCCACCGACGAAGCTTGGATTCTGCGAAAAGTGTGAAAGTGTGTCTTAAATGATATTTCGTATGGATGGATCTTCGGATATAAATTTGAACACGACGCGGCAACCACATTTCCACCAAGAAGGGTTGATGGGATCATGCGTGCGGAATTTCCCCCATCAAATCGTGCACCTTTAGCACCATCAGGTAAATAGCGATATTAGATCACAATCTATAATATCAGAAACAGCATTCTTTCTTATTTTTTTATTTGAATTGCATTTATTTATTTATCGTCGTAAACTCAACATAACTTTTGTATAATAGAAGTGCACATTTTTGTTTTTTTTTTTCTTTGAACTCGGTTTTAAATGCCGCTAGGCTCTCCGGTTGCGGGGCCGTGAGAGGATGCCGAGGAGTCAGTTGTTGTTGCTGCTTAATAATGCTAACCTATTTGGCTCACTTAGGGGCGGGGAAAGGGGAAGGGGCGGGCGGGGGTTGGGTTTTTGTGACAGCTTTGGTCGTGTTCTTGTTATAGTTGTAGTTGTTGCTAAATGCTTTGGTATGCGTCGTCATGCCGGGCCACGCCTACACGTCAGTGAGAAACTCGGTCAGCTTCTCGCGATCGCGCTGCAGCCAAGCGGCATTCAGGCGTATTGTCTCGACGGCCTGGGAGACGGTGCGATCACAGCCGGGTATCAGGTTGGCCTTGAAGAACTCCTCGACTTCGCGCGCCTTCTCCTCGGAGGCGAAATTCTCAATCAAATATTTAATGAGACGCGTCAGCAGAAAGCCGCCCTGGAAAAGATTTTAGGATCAGTTGTGAGATTCAAGGAATTGAGGCTTGAAATGTTACCTGATACTGTTCCAGCAGCTGCTTGTTGTTCTCCTTGAAGAACTCCCAGGCCATGTCGCGACCCTTGGGATTAACCGCCACGGCCACAATGACGAACACCGAGTCCTGGGCGCGCACCTCACCCTAAGATCACAAACAAGATTAAAGTCCCGGCAGATATATGAATCGTCTCCGGCTACTCACCGACATGGCAAAGTCAATGACGCGACGGAGGAGCTTCACGTCGCCAATGCAGCCGAGTGCTCGGCTGATGCGATCCTGTTCCTCGTGCAGATCGGTCGAACGGTACAGCATGAGCATTTCCTCAAAGATCTCCTCATCGCCATCCTGCAGCACGGCCTTGTAGCAGGTGCTGCGCAAATCGGCGGGCAGCGCCTTGGTGCCATTGACATGGCTGCGGAATCGCTTGCGTGCCTCCTCCGTGATTTCGGGACTGCGGAAGGAGACGAGACGTGTCAGCACCAGGCTGCGCAGCAGCGTATCCAAATGATTCTCATTGTCGCGTGGCTCCCAGCCGAGACGCTTGGCCACCGGCTCGTACAGGCTGCGTCCAAAGTTGTTGAAGTCCTCCATGAGATCTGTGTGGGAGATCAGGATATGGAGGTTGGCAAGCGAATTCGTGATGGCCGTCCACACAGTGTAGTTGGTCTCGTTGCGATAGGAGCCGACCAGTTGGAGCACATCAACGGTGCTGGCTTGCCCAGCCTGCACCATGGCAAACATGTCATCGATCAAGCCCAGCCTGTCCAGCGGCGGCAGCTCCATGTTCTGCACGGCCGGCAGCAGCTGGTCCAGCATCTCCTCGGAGTAGCGTGTGCGATAGTAGCCAACGGTGCCGGGATTGATTTTGATCCAATCGTCCTCGGAGACATTGTCCAGCACCACCTCCATGGAGGCCTTTTCCAGCAGGAAAGTCTTGGCTATCTGATTGGGATTGCGTGATGTGGACACCGATATGGGCACCACCCACAGGCAATCCTCGTCCGCCTTCGAGCCGTCGGCGGTGAATTTCCTTTGGGTTAGCCGCAGCAGACGCTGCGTCTCGCTCTTCTGCTCGGACTCGACGCTGACGACGGGAAAGCCTTTGTACTTGGTCCAGCTGGACATGACAGCGCCAACATTCTTGGAGCTGGCCTCCTGCAGTGCCTCCCACAAATCCTCGGTGCAGGTATTGCTATACTGATGCCGCGTCAAATAGAGATTCATGCCCTTGCGGAAATCATCCTCGCCAATATAATCGTGGAGCATGCGTATGACCGAGGCGCCCTTGTTGTAGCTAATCTCATCGAAGATCTCGTCAATTTCCGATGGATGGCCGACGGGCACCTCGATGGGATGCGAGTTCTTCAACGAATCCAGCTCCAGGGCACGGGTATACATGTCCGTCACAAACTGTGTCCAGATATCGTACTCGGGGAACAGATGATGCACGCACAGGAACTCCACAAACGAGGCGTAGCCCTCGTTGAGCCACAGATGCGTCCACCATTCCATGGTCACCAGATTGCCTAAAAGTACACAATTATCAGAGAGAATCTTTGCACTCCGGACTCGGCCTGCTTACCGAACCATTGGTGGGCAATCTCGTGGCCCACGGTGAGGGCGATCGACTGCTTGCGCATGAGCGAGGTGTTCTTGGGATCGACCAGGACGAAGGTTTCGCGATAGGTGACCAGACCCCAGTTCTCCATGGCGCCCGCTGAGAAATCGGATATGGCAATCAGATCCATCTTGGGCAGCGGATAGGCAATATTGAAATAGCTCTTATAGTAGGGCAGCACCTTGGTGGCCACCTCCAGGGCGAACTGGCCCTGATCCTTCTTGCCGACGGGCGTAAAGACGCGCACAATGACGCCATCGTCCGACTTGGCCTCCACAAAATCGTATTCACCAACAACGACGGCCACCAGATAGGTGGACATGATGGGCGTGCGATCGAAGCGCACACGACGCAATCCGCTGGGCAGGATGTCCTCCTTTTTCACGGGCATATTGGACAGCGCCACCCGATCCTTGGGCACCACCAGCGTTATGTCAAAGGTGGCCTTAATTGCCGGCTCATCCCAGCAGGGAAAGCAGCGTCGCGCATCTGTCGCCTCGAACTGGGTGACGCCCGCATAGCGCTCCTCGCCGTTGGCCGTGAAATATTTGCTCCGATAGAAGCCCTTCATTTTGTCATTCAGCTCGCCCGTGAAGGACATGTAGAGCACACCAGCCGTGCCCGCCGGCAACAGCTCCCCGAATTCCAGTACGGCCGTTTCATTCTCCTTGGAGTAGGTGATGCGATCCGCTTTCAGTTTCTCGCATTCATACTGAAACTCCGCCCCCTCGATGGTTATGTCCAGCGCATTGAGGGTGATGCGTCGCGTTGGCTCTATGACCTGGATCGAGCATAATAATAACAAGCAATTAGCATGGTTCGCGGAAAAAAAGGGGCAATAAGTCAATGATCGTGCAGCATTCATCAACCAGCACAAAAATGCAATGAGAATGCGGGACTAATAGATACCCTTTAGCATGATGCTTCGAATAACATGCACACTTACAATATACAGACAATAGACCAAGACTAAATGTGGGTGAGTGTTAATTTAACCGCCTTTCTATGCGATTTTCATGAATTCAAGTGAGGGTTAAGATGGAGGAGAGATTGGTATTGAGAGTAAGCGAGAGGGAGAAAGAATAAAAGAGAGAAAGAAAAAGAAGGGGAAAAGCACAGAGATTATGCTTCTACAAAGTACACATGCAGATAAAAAAAAAAATATTTCAAGATAGACGTGACAATCGATTAGATAGAGGAATTATAGCGTAGCGGCTGTTATCAAAAAATTGAAAGAAAGTTAATATGCGTATCGTATTATAAACGAGTATATAGAAACAAGGGACTAAATCAGAGCACATGCATGATTTTTCAGCTTGTTACAAACTTTCGCACAAGTCTAATATACAACTCCTAATCATTTTTAAAGAGAATACAAAAGGTAAAACGAGTAGAAGCGATTCAAACGAAAGCAGATTCGCAATATACCGTTATTTCAAGGTCATAATTCATCTACAGTGAGCATTGCCTACAGTAAACCAATTTTAAACTGAATAATATTTGTATCTGTGCTAAAGCAATTTATGTATATTAACTTATTAGATTGTTTTCTCTTCATGTTATCTTACAGGATAAGAATTTGGCAAATCGCGTGTTCTTCATAGCGAATATATACTGTATGCGAATATTTTTGCTAGCCCGGTTTCCGGCTTAAACCCGTTTTGGTCAACTTTTTGGTTGTATATCAGTTAAAGTAGCAGCAGCCGCCGTTAAGATTTGCACAAGTATGTATTTTATCATCTTCTCTTTTTTTTTTTTTTTGGAATTTTTTCTATAAACGGTATTTTTGATGGGCGATCAAATAGTCAAAGCCCAAAACCCGTTGCTGCTGCGCCTTCGGAAAGGTAAACAGAATGTGTATACCGTTATGAGATCAGCAGAGGCGTCGGCGTTGATCAGTGAACGGGGGGCGGGGGGTTGGCAAATTGTATGGCGCAGTGCGCCACAAAAACAAATAAATTCACAATAATTGCCAGTCATTGCTTGATGTCAACCCATAACAAAGAAACATTTCCTTGTCGACGACATGTCTGAACGTCGCCTGCATGCAAATTGCAGCATAAAGAGAAAATGGCACGCACACACACACACACACGTACAGACTAGGCGTATGTGTAAGGGAGAAGGTATGAGTTTTTGCACACGTCAGAAATGAACCAAACATGCACACACACACACACAGACAGACGCGCGCGCAGAGCCAAAGAGAGAGAGAGAGAGAAAAAATGACCTGCATGCAAGATACACATACATACATATTTATGATTTGTAGTCAAAGTGAAAGCGAAAGTGAACGAAAAACTTAGCGAAACGTAACGTAACGGTACTTACACTGATTTGCACAATTGTCTTGCCCGTAAAACTGAACGCCTCCAGATCAGGCTGCAGGATTAGCTCATAGTGCTTGGGCACCACATTTGTGGGCAGCCGCTCAAATTCTGTGACCACCGATTGTGCCATATTGTTGTGGCCGTTCGACTGCTCCGCCTGACAAAGATGACTGCAGCAGCTGTGTATGCGACGATTATGGCTTAATTGTGGTCCTTTGCCTAGAACAGGCTCAGCTCCAACCAAGTCCGCCGATGTATGGGCAAGTATGTCGCGATAACGACTGCACAGATCGCCCAGCAGTGGGGCGTCGCTGGTCTTGAGTGGCGCGCCCAGCGATATGTCCGAATAGTCGCGATAAAACTGTTTTTGCACCTTCACAAACTGCTTCGACGATACCAGAGTATTGAGGTGGCAAGTCTCTGCACGTAGATGGGCAGAATGCTTATCAACGCAGCTAAGGCAAAGGCACGGGCGTAGGCGGTAACGGAGGCGCAACGTTGGGGCGTTAGTAAAAGCACAAGCGCAGCACCGAAAGCTCTGGCGAGCCAGTTTCCACAGTGCTGTCGGTTTGTTTAGTAACTGTTGCTTGGAGGCGGGGGAGGCGTGCAGCGGGAACAGATTTGCTTGGTTGCAGGCTGAAACTAGATGTGGAAGATAGCTGGCACAGAGGATTATTATTATTGTTATCACTGATTTTACGAGCGTTTCTTAATTGTGTTTATATTATTACGACAAGGGGGTAGTGCGGGTAGACTGCGGGGTACTGCGGGTGGCTGTACTGTTCTCTCACCTTCGCACAAATGCTGCTCAAAATCGGAATTGGCTTTAGCTAAATCCAAATTGAGTTTGCCAAGTTCTGCAAGTATGACGTTTGAATGCACTTACGTTAAATTTAACTGTATTATGTTAGTTAATTTTTGCAGAAAATTTATTAGAGAGTGAATGAATACTGCGGGCAGCTGCTGGCGGCTTCTGCTGACGAAAAAAAAAAACAACACGCTTTCAGTGTGACCCACTTGCGCTTGGTACGTTTCGGTATTGGACCGCACAGCTGATTGCGCACTCTACAGACGTGTTGTTATGCAGCCGTATTGTTTGCTGTTATAAAAAGTGTTCACTGAGTACGTGTGTTATTACCGTTTCTGAATTTCCAGGCCTGCTTTGCTGTACGTATACCTCCTTTTAACGCATTTTTGTACATGGCACTGCAACGTTGAATTTATTTTTAAAAATAAAACGTTTTATCGGTAGCGCATTAAGTGAGTTCCACCTTCCAGCTGTTTACCAACACTGCTATGCGTCTCCCACACGCTGCAACTTGCAGTACGATATTTGTAATGTTTGGATATCGATAAATTTGTATCGATAGGTTACTTGAACTATTTACTGTTATAGGGTCATAACGGATATTGGCATTTGAATTTTGAGTGATCGTTTTTAGCAGAAAATTTTGCAAGTAGTTTGCTGATGATCTATCTTAAAGGTTGTGTCAAATATGCTTACCAAGCTAGCACCAAAAATAATATTCCAATGAATCGCAAGATTCATTATCTTACGCAGTTTTTTAGCCTGTCTTCAAAGTATCTTACGCCAATAGAGATAATCTCTTTTAAAGATTGACCAATGCCCACTCTAACAGCTGTTTTACTGCCTAACATAAATACAAAATGTATTTTATATGCATAATTTATTTTATTCAATTTAAATTTTATTACATTGCATATATTCACTTTACTTCACTTCACTTCACTTCACTTTTCACGCGTATATCACTGTTAGCACGGAAATTCAGTTTCTACGTAGGCTTAAATCAGAAATTAAATACAATTAAAATCGGTTTTTTCTAAAATCCTCCTGTCGACAATGTGGCAACGCCGGCACAACACAAAAGTACTAAAAAATACCACAGCTAGCACTGCACACCGATACCCACGGGGTATTCGTTGTGGCGGCAGTAAAAACCGATTTAGTAATTGAGAAGTTATTCGGTTGTGCGCAACGTTGGGTCGGTTGCTTTTAAAACCCCTCAGTGAATATCCATTCACGTAAGAATAGGCAGCACATGCTTCCCGCTCGACATTTACTCTGACTTCCAGCTCAAATTGCACTTGCCAGGAGAAGGAATAACCGTACAATAGAAAACGCGCGTCCATTTGCAATTGTCCAGAGTATTAGAAAAAATGAAATTGTGTTCATCGCAACAGTTTGGTGTAGCTGTCTTGTTTATTGTTTTGAATATATGCTCGCCATTAGCAGATGCATCGCCAATTGCCTGGGGTAAGTGTGTTTTTGTTCTTTAACAGCAGCTATTATACAATTTTCCATTGGCATTGGTTAGAAAGTGTTGCATGGCGGTGGCAACGCTGCCAGTGCACCTGAACGTAACAGTGTGCCCCACTCTTGAACAGAAATCAATTTGCCATCGGTTTGGCAGCAGACAATGCGTTTGCTTTATGCTTGATTGCATAATCGGTTGACATTTAAGTGCTTCAGCTACGTAAATAAAAAGAGATTCTAGTCTTTTTATGAATGTGACCGTGTCTACTATATGTTTTTGGCCATGTTTGCGTTTATACGTGTCGCGCATACGTGTGGTGTCGTGTGCGTTTACTCTATGCTAACCATCAGCTGATTATGCCATTTTGTTTTCTTCATATCAATCTGTTTTGGCTACGCATTTGTCTTATCGCAGTTGAGTTTATCAATTCAAGTTCAATCTTTTGGTTAATTTCATAAACCAATTCTAGTTGCAGCATATCCTAGCGCCGCCTATATTCCGACAATGTTGCACGCGCACTTTCACCCCCGCTGAGCGGAGAGAGCGCTGCGGCAGTTCGCTGCAGCAGAGACATACATAGAAAAAAAAAAAACAATCCCATAGCCGCCATTGAGAGTTGCTTAATTGTCACGTATGCCGCAAAAATTTGCCGGTTTTGTTAATTTGTTTTCTTTCACTTTTTGCTGATTTGATTGTTTTTTTTTTGTTTTTTCTACAACATTTTTGTCTCGTCTGACACCCAGCTTCGCTGCGTTTCAACAAAAAAAGCTTGCGACTTTTGTTTACGCTGAGCTCTCGGCTTACTCCGGCGTCGAACTCAAGTCTTGTTGTTGTTGCGTCTGTTGGAAATTCAGCAACGGCAATTTGAGGCGAATTCTTAAAATGTGTGCGTGTGCACATAAATACATGTGTGTATGTGTGTGTGATTTACTGTCATACATATGTATGCATGTGTATTCCAGTTACAGTTACGATAACTAATCAAGCTATCAAGAAATCCACGTGTTGCCTCGCATTCAAGTGGATATTATTTGCAGTCATATAACAACTTGTTGCCGCCTGAAATACAGAAAAGTTACATTAGATGTTTATTATTTGTTACTAAATATTGATTTTATATTGAACAGGTTTTAAAGCTAAACCCATTTTGTCAGATCAATGCACCTGCCAGCATGTGCTCTGAAGATTGGGGCAGAACGACGGCCAGATACCCTTTAGCTCCATCTTGCGTCGTATTCATTCTAACTAAGGTTAAAATGTTCTTAAAACCCGATATTTATCGATTTCGTCTAGTTATCGATAGAGAGAAACACTGTATAACAAATTTGAACTCTCAAAATCTTATAAACTGTAAGTTTGCATGTGAATTTGAACTAGTTCAATATACCCTTTTGTGGTCCGCTGGCTACAGGGCATTCCAAGGGTTCTCCATAAATTTTCAAATGGTTTTATATTTACATAGTACGTAGTATGCTAAATGGATCTCACTTAAATATGTATTAGCTATGAAATGGATCTCGAAAAGTGACTCTGAATACAGATTTCTTTATATATATATATATGATATGTGTTTGGCTCTTCTTCATTACAAAAACTGTAAACTAGGGACGGTATTCATTTCCATAGACATTTGTAAACATGAAAGATTCAGACTCTCGAAGTGCATCGAGAGCCCATCAAATCTCTGCTTAGAGATATTTTTATGATCCGCCGAGTTCATTTGGATTATCTATGAAACGTTGGGTCAATGTCAACGACCATTCGATGATATTTTACAAATTTTGCGACGCAAAAAACATATTTAAAAAAAAAAACAATTAAAAAAATGTTTACATTTGTATTTGTTCGTTTTTTTTTTTTTTTTGATAATTACAGTCAATAATTTAATAAATTATTATCTATCACGAACTTAATGTTAGGTTTTGTGACTCATCGAACTATAAACGAATCGAATAAACTATTTGATTGAACTTTATTTAGCCAACGTTTGCAAACATGTAAACTTATTTTGAATTCAACATTTTCTGCATCGATAAGCCGTTGACCTCAAAGCCCCTTAGTGCGAAGGTTAAACTATGCTCAAGACCCTCAACAGACCAGACAGACTGAAAGCCAAATCATTGGAAAGGTTCGCCAATACCTTTTACAGTAGACAATTAGACAGACTGAATGTATATATATCTATATCTATATATATATGGGCATAAACTAATGAATATACCCTATGCCCTGGCTAAAGTGTATTCTCATTTTGTCAAGCGAAATGTAACGCCAGGTTTTCGACTACTTTTACGATTTGAAACTTACTTTATAACTGTATAGCTATATATATATTATTTCAGCTGCGCTAAGATCTAGCTGTTTTGCCAAGATATCTAAGGTTCAAACCCATAGCGTGCCCCTATATCATTTGTTATCTGCCTTTGGCTCAAAGGGCAAGAGTCGAAATGTTGTACCACGCAGCTGTATAATGTCTGCTAAAGGGTATATCGACTTTGCTATTTCTTTTGTTATTTGTTTTGTTTTTTGTTGTGAAGACAACCTGCCCCGCGCTGATGCTTCACACGCGACAGTGACCCACAAAAAACTACGAACTGCGGCCAAATGGTCAAATGTCCAAATCGAGTCAAGTATTGTTTGGTTTTCTGTGTTCGTTAAGCTATTTGCCAGATCGTGTGTGTGTGAAAGTGAAAGCCAGCCGGACACCTGTTGCATTAGCCTTCGGATCGGCACGCATTTGTATATCCATTACGGAAATGCTGCCGGGTCAGCTGTTTTTTCCAGGTAGTTTAGCTGCCATTTCCGTGCTTTATTTGTTTTTATTGTCAGGCGTACTTTATCAAAATCAATTGCATTAAATGCCTAATTAACAGCTGGCATGTTGGCCAAAATAAAGAACCGGTTCGACAATGTTTAAAATCGGCTTTTTAACGCCTTCTTTTTTGTTTGGGGGGGGGTTTTCAACAGTTCTGGAATCTGACTAACCGCGCATAATATATAGCGCAGATGGGCGGGTTTCTTGTTTCCCTGTGTTTCACCTGTTTTACGTCTCTCGCTGAGCTGCAGGTGGCAGCTGTATACCTGGCCCGACATCATTTTAATTACGTCTTGACCTGTGCATATTTTTGTTTTTCTTTATGCATTGGGGTTTTTCACATCGGGGTTTTTCAATCTGGGTTCAGGCACGTTATCTTATCAGTCCAGACTCGATTTTGAACATTTATAATTCGATTTGGTTCGGCAAAGTTGTGCAACAGCTGCAGTGCATCAGCCAATGCATTCATGAATAACCTCCTGTCTTCATGAGATTCTCAGATCTTAAATATAGATAATTCTTAGGATTAATACTTTGAGCTATGCTTAAGAAACCATCTATCACTTTTCATTGATATTTTCAAAATATGAGGAAATATAAAGAATTATAAACTCTTTAGGAGAAAATATATCAATTTGCAAGTCTCTAACTTGTTTAGTCTTCGAGTTCAACGCGTTTGACTCTTAGCCTAAATCGACTTAGTTCTTCGTCCAATCAAGAAATAAGAAATTTAAATAATCTAAACGCTTTCTTCTACCTTTTACATATATATTATACTTCAATGGGTATAAAAATGGCGCGTAATTAATTGAAACTCAAATCTAAATTCCTAATTTATAATAATAAAGCGAACCTTGATTGAAATACGATACGACTTTTATGATCAACACAGACAGAGAGAGAGAGAGAGAGAGAGAGATATGGATTCTTGAAGAGGGCGCGTGGCAGAACAACGGGACATGTGGCGCTAACTTAATTGAATGCGATTTATTGAACTTAATTTGCAATGCTCCTGCACATCCCCAACCCACCACCCCCGCCCCCATCGCCAGCGAGCATTTATTAGTAATTTATGGCCTGCCTTATCTAATCGATAGTCATCGATAACAACAATCGCCTGAGCGTGAATGCCGACTAATGCAACACTTGCATTTTTCAGACTTTGCCGTTACGCTGCGCGACAAGATTCTGTTTTTGGACAACAGATGGCGCACAATTGGTTCAGCCGCGCACGAATTCGAGGAGCTGTCCGCCTTGGCCTTCGATGAGGCCGAGGAGCTGATCTATTTTAACGATCAGCAGCATCAGAACGGCAGCATTTTCTCGTTGCGTCGCGATGCAACGGTTGCCTCGCACATCGTGGAGCAGGCGGTGCAGCGGACGGGCAATGATTCGGTATCCGGACTGGCATACGATCCGCTCAATCGCAATCTCTTCTGGGCGGACATGCGCCAGAGCAAGATCTACTTTGCCAGCATCGATACGCTGTACACGGAGCCGCCCAAGGTGCTAGTGGATCTGAGCGCCGAGGGCGGCCGCCCGGACGGCGTGGCCGTGGATATCTGCCGCCGTCAGCTGTACTGGACAAACTGCAAGATCAATCATGCGACCGTGGAGCGCATCGGCTTGAACGGCACGGGCCGAGAGACAATCATCAAGCAGGATATCGATATGCCGCGCGGTATTGTGATCGATCAGCTATCGGATCGCATGTTCTGGATTGACGACAAGGTGGGCATCTTCTATGCCTTGGAGAGCGCACGTCTCGACGGCAGTGATCGCCAGCTGGTGCTCAAAGACAAACACCAGAGCCCCATACAGCTGGCTATTACGGAGGACACAATCTACTGGACAGACAAGGCGGACAAAGCCGTCTGGAGCTATCCCAAGCCGGCGTACAACAAGCCGGCGACGAATTCCAGCGAAATGCAGCCGCAACCCACAAAGCTGGCCAGCTGGAAGGAGGATGTATACGGCATAGTGGCGCGCACGGGTTTCTATCAACACCTGCAGAAGGATGCGCACTGCGCCAGCGTCGTAAGGAAGGTCAAACAGCGCCTGGACAACAAGCTCAACAATAGGACACACGAACGCAGCGCCGTGGAGGAGCGCATGGATGCACTGGAGCGGGAGCATTGCCTGAACGGCGCCAGCTACATGAGCCGGGGTAACTTCTGTATATGCCCGGTGGGCTACAAGGGTGCACGCTGCGAGATATCCGAATGTCATAATTTTTGTGTGCACGGCACCTGCGAAATCTCCGACATGGGCTATCCCAAATGCTACTGCCAGGAGGACTTCTATGGCGAACGCTGCGAATACTATAAATGCAACGGGCACTGCCTCAACGATGGCCACTGCCTCGTGGACAAGGAAAGCGGCGAGCTGAGCTGCGACTGCCATGAGAACTTTACGGGCACACGCTGCGAGCACAACGAGACGGCGCATTGCGCCAGCTACTGTCAGCACCTGAAGCAGCATCCGGATGCATTTGTGCCCGCCAGCTGTGTGGACATGTGAGTACCCTTCGTCTAGCTGTCCAGCTTCCAACACTAAACTCCCTTTTTCCCCCTTTTGGCTCCAATAGCTGCGAGGAGCTGCGTCTAAGCAACGGCACAATTGTGACGGAATACCAGGCGGCAGCTCCACTGTGCGCCGACGGGCCCAGCAGCCTCCGGTCGGGCTCTGTGATCATTGTGCTCGTGGTAGGCATTGTGTCCAGCCTGGCGCTGGTGGCGGTCATTGTGCACGGCCTGCGACTCATCTACAAGCCGAAGCGGCCGCGCATCAAGAAGACCTTCGTGGTGCGCAAGCAGGCCCGTCTGAACTCCTCCAGCGACACGCCGCTCACGAACCGCCCGCTGGCCACCGAGCAGTGCGAGATCACGATAGAGAACTGCTGCAACATGAACATTTGCGAAACGGTGCGCATAAAATGCAATTCCAATTAAAATCTTTAACTAATTAGTGTATACAATTTACAGCCCTGTTTTGATCCCAAGCTGGTGGAGCAACAATTTGCGGCGCGCGATAGAAAGTCGCCCTGCGTCAAGGAGGACAAGAAGATACTGATACACAATATGGAAGATGATCTATTAACCTAGGCGCCTGTCCAATTGCATAAACGTTCACGTCGTGCACGGATCGATCAGGCGGCATTCGAGCTTGAAAAGCTGGTGCCGCCCGCCACAGCCGGCTCGTCGTGGTCCACGTCGTCGTCGTTATCGTCGTCGTCGCCAGGTGCTCTACCAAAGCTCGCACATATACAAAGACCTAGCTGAATTCATATAATACTTAATTGATGGAAACGTGTACTTAGCAATCATTTACGTTTAGTTTTGGTCTCATTAATTTATTATTTTTGAGGAATTTCACCGTGTGTAACGTTCATGTAGTTTTTAAGTTTTTAGCTTGAGATCGGTTGAAGGAAATTTTGTTTTGAGAAATTTGAAAAGGTTTTAATTGAAATGCAGTAAAGTCTTCTGACTGACATTAGCTTTAAATCACACGTACTTATATATACATATATAGTATATAGTTAGATGCGGCTGAGTTCATGAATAATTGCCATTTGCACAATGAGGCAAAAATGTGATTCACAACGGTTAAACTGTTGTCAATAATAATAAAGAACGCAAATAATATAAATGAATTGCAAGAACTTTTCAAACGTGGCAGCAAACGCATCTGTTTACAGAGTTCCTTTAACATAATCCCATTAACATAAACGCACACACACACACACACACACGCGCATACAGACACTGTTCTGCTGTCATGACAAATCTAACTGCCATGTCTACAACATCAAATCTGTTCACACCGAAATTGCCTTTGTGTATTTACATAATTACATACTTACATACAATTGATCGTAGCCACTGCGAATGCGAGTTGTAAATATGCGTAAATTAGATTTTAATTGTAATTAATAAGACACTGGTTGAACAATAAACAAGAGTATGTTTGTTTTAATAATCAAGTGTACTTGTTAAGTGTGCTATTTGTACTGCACTTTTGCTCTTGTTTAACCAACACATACATAGACAGCTTTCTGCACATCGCCTGACCGAATGCAATTGTATTTGACAACAGGAGTTAGTCACAAAGAGTAAGCATCATGACACTATACTATGTATATATATTATATATTAAATTTTTTTTTTCATATTTTAAGTAAGCTATTAGTCGCGTACACTCACAATGACATTGTTTTAATTGTTTTTTTCTTTTTGTATTTTGCCAAGTCGAATGGCAATTTAACCGACGAACCAAACACTTTAACGAATTTTAAAATGAATTAAATTTCTAATATCGATGTCTAAGATCTACGTGACCAATATCGATAAGTATAGCCAACGCAATATCGATGCACCACCATTGCTCAACACTAAAAAAACAAGCATCGATACTTGGCTGCGACAGCACTATCGATACAACGCAAGTACTTTTCGTCGTATCCATTTTTCTTGACGTCACATCAAATTTTCGCAAAATATAAAACTTGTATTTAAATCACATATATACCCAGCCAAATACACATAAATAAAGTTAAATTTGTGCAACTAGATAGGATGGTATGTTCAAAACAGTAACAACCACATTGCTGTCGTTTATTTAGCTTGTTTTTCGACTTTGCGCTTGGCGTGGCTGCCGCAGCCGCTGCCGAAGCGCGTGCCCTGCAATTATTTTTTTTTTTTTGCATTAACTTGTGCGTTTGAACTCATCTGTGAATGTGCGTTTTATATAAAGTCAAATCGTAGTTGGCTACGCTTGTTGAAAGTTGAAAATATACTGCCAGGCACAGGCACAAGCATTCTTCTAAAAGTCGACAGCTCGCGCCCGTGTGTATCTACATACATACATATATATCGTGCCTCGCTTGTGCCGTCGCGTTCCGCGTACCTTGCCATACGTTTACTAATCCAGTGACCTTCGCTTTGGGGTTTTTTTCTTTTGCATTTGCAGGGCAGCAACGACAGAGCCTCCAGATCGCCGCGTTCGGATGACCAGCGCGATATCGGCGAGATGCCAGTCACAAAGCGTTCACGCTCGGACTCGGGTAAGTGTTTTGTCTTGTTGCGGGCGGGGTGGGAGAAGGGGTCAACTTGTTTATATGCATAAGTATGTATCTATAGAGTATATACAGAGTATATATATCTATGTATATATATATATTTATATGCGTAAGTTCACATAAAACAGAAAGAGAAATAAATATATATATGTAGGTTAATGAAATGCCAGGCCACAAATCAAACAAAAGGAAAATATATATATCATATTTTTTTTTGGTTGAAATTTTATATTTTCTCTGAAAACATAAACATTTGCATACACATCTCTCTCTCTCTCTCTCTCTCTCTCTCTATTTTCTACTACTTCGTTGCATTTTAAGGGCCAGCACAGACGCTATTAAATAATCGGTTTTTCTTTTTGTTCTGCTTAAGTAATTGCAGACTTCATAAACGCACGATGATCTCAAGTGAGGTGAGGTGAGAGTCAAACAAATAACGAAAACCAAATCGAAATGAATACGAAACGAAACAATAACAGACAAGTCAAGTCTCAGTCCAAACCACACGCGATCCCCAAAACTAATTGCGAATCGATTCCTACTCGAATCCGACTCAACTGTCCATACAAAGTATCGATATGTGTCGTCATTGTGAGAGAGTGCGTTGCACAAAAATCAAAACGAAAAACAAAAACAAAAAAAATACACCAAAGTCACATAATATATATTAATATAATTAATGCGTTAACATAAGATCGAAGCGTTGGCTCGACAACAGGTTGCAAAAATGAAGTTTTTCATTTAACTAGGGTCCAGCCCGCAGCGTGTATATGAGTACAGTGAATCCTCGCCGCATCAACACTGCGAAACGCAACGAAACAAAACTAATCAAAAAAGCATATAACTATTCTCTATATTCTCTCTCTCTCTCTCTCTCTATTCTCTCTCTATTTCTTCTATATATCTCTTCTTTTTTTTCATTTATTTTGTAAGCGTTTTTTTCTTATGTTTGTTCCGCCCAAACGACTTGGTTCTTTTGTCGCCTATCAAGAATTGACATCGATCAAGAGATGCCGCCCCCCAAAATAGAGTATTGCCAATAACAACTGCTACTACCAAGATACATCAGCACCCGATACGGGAACGAATTGCATTTAATTGCTTTTAACAACATTTTTTGCCGATTTCAACGTCCACGTCGCGGTTCCCGCACTCGAGCTGCTTCGTCGTCGTCGTCGTCGTCGCCTCCGTCTCCGTCTCCCGCCTTCATATGTGCTGCGACAACGCGTTGGACTGATCCGCCCCACAGCCAGAATTAGTCGTTTTTTTTATTGTTTTTTTTTACTATATTTAATTATCAACATTGAAGTTGGGCGCGTGTCTTTTCGTGTCACGACCATTGAAAATTTCGTGAGTGTCAGTGTTGAGCAGTAGTTAAAAGTGACGTTAATTTTTGAAATTGCAAATGTACCAAATGAAGACAATATTTTCCAAATTGAAAAACATCACTTTTTAAAAGGGAATGAATTAATTATTAAAAACACATAATTATTGCTTGTTATTCATAACAAATCAACAAATTGTCCGATAGGCCAAAGAGAGCTACTGTTAAATCTAAATATGTATATAAATTTATGCATATTTATATGTGATCTCCAAATGATTTAAAATATATAGAAGCTTTATTAGTTAGCCGCGCAATCAAAAACCCAACGTGAAATATTTAAAGTAAAATATACACATAGTACATACACATATATATGACAAAATCACACACAACACATACATACACACACCAACACACACACACACACACAACATGATTAAGGTACGGCGGAAAAACTTAACCAACTTAAAAACATATTGTTGCTCTTATTATCGTTTCAGCGTCTTGTTTTCTTTTTATTTTTCTCTTTTTTATCACTGAGCAATGTAATGTGTGACCCTTCAAGTCAATATACCACGCCCCCAACTCATGGAAACCGTATCGAAACGCACATATATAAGGTCGCTTATAATTTCTATTTTTATAATACATTTACAGGAATTGTGCACACCGTTATGCCAGCTTTCCAACACTGTACACAACGTTGATAACTATTGAATTTTGACTTCAGTTCGTTTTGTAAGCCCTGGGGTGTTGAACCTATTTTTTGTTACAGTGTGCACAGTTCTTGGGTATTTTCTTCTTTGGTTTCGATTTGTGCGGCGACGATTTGCCGGCTGGATGTCCGTTGGAAGAGCTTTAAATGATATTTCGATTGATATACTCGCTATAACTGCATTTATCTCTAATCTACGCACACACACACACACCACTCACACACACACACACAGTCGTACTTTTATTAGCACAGCCTACGTATACTTAGAAATATTAGGCTAATTTATGTCTTATTTTTACGGGTGCTTTCTTTTTAATCTTGCATTTTCCAGCTTTTACGAATGACAAATCAAATGCCTTGCAGTCCGTCAGGCAATATCCTATATCCATTTACGTAAATTCAAATCATTTATTTAATTCAAAAACATAAACTAACGAGGCAAAAGACGAAATACTAAGTGTTGTTAGTACGCAAAAAATACCGATAAACGATAACAGTTTGAAAAAAATACTGCATTTAAACGTAACGAGTAATGTGCATCGACAGCTTTTAATTGTCATATTGTGTTGTAGCCTCTCGAATCTCTGTGACTGAATCATCTGCCGGTTGGCAATTGGCCCGCGCACAAGCAGTTCCAGATCTTCTCCAGAACGCACACAAACACACACGCACACATACACACACAGTTACATATATGTATAAACTACTACAATATATGTATGTAGTTTCTTCGCCGGCCAGCAAAACTGTTGATTATGATTAATGATTTTTTTTCTATTTTTTCCTTTTTGTCTTTTATCTTTCTTGCAGGCATCGGTTTTTTGTTTGTGTCGCTTCAAATGCCAACTCGCGCACCATTGCCTTGGCCCGATTGCTGTGCCCCTCCTCGCTTGGTGATGGTCACAGCAATTGGGCCAACTCTGGTCTCGAGCTGCTGCTGGAGTCGACACAGACCTCATAAAAAGAAAACAAAAATCAAATCAAAACGAATCAAAGAAAAAAGTCGTATAAAAAACCAAATTGCTTAAACGATCCGCTTAGCGCTGATCGGTTCGATGATGAGCCCATTGTCATCATATCATATGAGATACACTAATCTGTCCTCCCAATTCTAGGCAAGTCAGCGGACACGAAAATTCCCTACCTTTCGCAGCCACTGTATGATCTGAAACAGACGGGCGATGTGAAATTCGGACCTGGCACCCGGTCCGCACTGCTGGGACTGCTCGGCGGTGCTCTGCCCAAGCTGACCTCGGAACAGCATGATCTTGTTAGCAAGGCCAAAAAGTATGCCATGGAGCAGAGCATCAAGATGGTCCTAATGAAGCAAACGCTTGCCCATCAGCAACAACAGCTGGCCACCCAACGCACCCAGGTGCAGCGGCAACAGGCCCTGGCGCTCATGTGCAGGTAATAAAAGAAGAGATTTGATTTGCATAAGATACGCAGACTTTGCCAATATATGATGCAAAACATGGAATATATTAAGTGAATAACCTCGTGGCCCGACCGCTGCTTCGCGTTATTGAAGTCGGTCTTTGGGTGCATCTGGTTTCCTGTGCAGCTTAGCTGATAAGATCTGAGCATTTGTGTATCTGAAATATTACTTTTCATAATATGTGTTGCCTAACTTATCCTTTTCTTGCTTTCGCCAGGGTTTATGTGGGCAGCATCTCGTTTGAGCTCAAGGAGGACACCATACGCGCCGCTTTCACACCATTCGGACCCATCAAATCGATCAATATGTCCTGGGATCCCATCACACAGAAGCACAAGGGTTTCGCATTTGTTGAGTACGAAATACCGGAGGGTGCCCAGTTGGCGCTGGAGCAAATGAATGGGGCATTGATGGGCGGACGCAACATCAAGGTGGGCAGGCCAAGCAATATGCCGCAGGCACAACAGGTCATCGACGAGGTGCAGGAGGAGGCCAAGAGCTTCAATCGCATATATGTGGCCTCCATACATCCAGATCTGTCGGAGGATGACATCAAGAGCGTCTTCGAGGCCTTCGGTCCCATTCTCTACTGCAAGCTCGCGCAGGGCACATCTGTGCACACGCACAAGGGCTACGGTTTCATTGAGTATGCCAACAAGCAGGCCATGGACGAGGCCATTGCCAGCATGAATCTCTTTGATTTGGGCGGCCAATTGCTGCGGTGCGTAAAAATCATTCTTTTCTAACACAATTTGCTTATCTTCTCACCTAATTCTGCAGTGTTGGACGTTCGATTACGCCGCCGAATGTGCTGTCGTGTCCTGCTACAAATTCGACAATGCCAACGGCTGCAGCTGTTGCTGCTGCCGCTGCCACAGCTAAGATACAAGCCCTGGATGCGGTGGCCAGCAATGCGGTGCTCGGTTTGTCTCAAAATACGCCCGGTCTGGGCATTGCCGCCAAAGTGAACGCCATGCCTGTGGTGAGTGCGGCCACCTCGGCGGCTGCCTTGCATCCTGCTCTGGCGGTGCCTACAGCGCCCGCTGCTGCACTGCTGCCGCCGGGCATATACCAGGCGCCCGGTCTTGGCGGACCCAGTTTGTTGGGCGTGCCGGTCGGTCTACCAACGCTGCAAAGTGTGGCACCCACACTACCGCCACCCGCGCTCCTAGCAACGCCGCCCGCCGTGGCTTTGGCAGCCGCGGTACCCGCCGCAGCAGCAGTGACACTTGGCGTGGTGGAGGCCAGCAATGGAGCACCGGTCGTCTTGTCCGCGGCAGCCAATAATGCTGCGGCAACGGCGGCAAATCTGTCGGAGAACATTAAGAAGGCGCAGGAGAAGCAGCAGGAGGAGCTGCAAAAGAAGCTGATGGATGAGGGCGATGTGCAGACGCTGCAGCAACAGGAGAACATGTCCATCAAGGGCCAGAGTGCACGTCAGCTGGTTATGCAAAGGCTGATGCGACCACAGGACTCGCGCGTCATCATCTTGCGAAATATGGTTGGACCCGATGATGTGGACGAGACGCTGCAGGAGGAGATTCAAGAGGAATGCAGCAAATTTGGCACAGTCAGTCGTGTCATCATATTCAACGAAAAACAAACCGAAAACGAGGATGACGACGAGGCCGAGATTATTGTCAAGATCTTTGTTGAATTCTCAGCGGGCGTCGAGGCGGTGCGCGGCAAGGATGCGCTACACGGACGTTTCTTTGGCGGACGACGAGTCGTCGCCGAGCTCTACGATCAGGCGCTCTTCGATCAAGGCGATCTGTCTGGTTAGAGAGCCGGAGTGTGGAGGGCAGAGAAGGATGCGATTGTATGTTTAGGCTTACGGATTCGGATACGGATACGGACCTTTATCTGGCAGCAAACAGCCTTTTTTTACTTAGAAATTAAACGAACAATTATTTATTACTTGGCGCGCAAGTCACAAGCCACAAATTGTGGCCGAAGGAGATTGTAAATTTTTGGACAAAGTCAATGATTGATGAGCACAGTATCTATTATAATTAAATAATACCTATAATATGGGCAGTTGAAATGTTGATAATGATTAATGTATTAACGATCCGATCCCGATCCCAAGCAATTGTCGCCAGTTTCTGTATAAATTAAGCAAAGTGCAAGTGTTTTCCCAGCCAGCACGTCCAACAGTTAATTTTTCTGTCGCATACACACAAAACTAACAGAGTGTACATTTTAATAATTTTGAGCGCTTAAAACTTACAATAAAAGTCTAGTTTCCCATAAAGCTAAGATTGTGCACTTATATATATTTTAAATCGATTTTTTTTCGGTATAAACAAATCGAAATCAATAAGACGATACGCTGTTAGCCTTAGCAGCCAGTTGGCAGTGCCAAATTGCTGTTACTGTTATTTAACAGAGATCTGTAGTTTGCGTTAACAGCAATCAATTTGCGTTAACCCAGTGAAAGAAGAAGAAGCATTGCATGAAAGAAAAATAGAAAATATGATGCCAAAAAGTGAATAATCAAGTGATATTCGGCCGAATAAAAAAGAACAACAACGATTTTTGTGTGTTTGTGTCGCGCAACTGGAATGTTAACGCGTTCCAAACCGTGCGGCGCCTCCAATCAAACGCATTCGCAGCCAGTTAAAGCTTTTTTTGACAAAGACATCGCAGCAGTAGCAGCAGCAGCAGCAACAATCAGCGACGACTGGTCGCGACTCGCGTAGCTGTTGAAAGCAAAAAAAAAAAAAGGTACACATAAAACGAAAATCTCGTTGGTCCTTTGTTTCTATGTTAATTTGTGCTAAACAATTTGTGTGTGTGTGTGTGTGTGCGTGGTGCACCTGCTGCTAGCTATGTCTACGGCAGGCACAGCTGATGGGCTCTAAATGGGTCTGTTGATGATGTTGGCCACGAATTTCTCGCTGGCCTTGCCTTGATAAGCACAGACTGGCTGTCGCACACGACGCACACGCACACCCAGCTTCCCCGCAATAACTACGCACCAATACAGGCCCAATTTTAATGCTATTGTTTGTCTATTTACATAAATACGCACATATCTGCCTACTGATTGGTATGTTTGTATGCATTTTCCAACATTTGCTTCCGTTCGTTCGTTCGCTTCAGTTTGGCGTTGCCAACTCGATCGTTGTTGTTGACTTTCGATGCGCGTCCTGTGGCCCTCACACTCAGTCGCTTTCCAACACACGCACACACACACACACACACACATACTGTTGCATTGTTTCAACTTATTACGTAATATGTCTTTGGCAGCACCCCGTTAAAAAACAATAGAACACCTTACAATCACATGTGGCATGACTTCAGCAGTTTTCAGTTTATTCTGAGCTCTTTATTTATAACCTGATAAGCTCTGCAAAGATTGATTTTGCTTTCTGGCCAGGCAGTCCTTGGCTGCTCGCTGTTAGATCCTGGGCAAATGAGTGCTTGTCAACAAAGTTGGGTTGTTATTCCTAGACATTTCTGAACACTGGCAATAAGAATCTTATTGAGAAAGAAGTAAAGTAATAACATTAATATTCTTTAATTTCTTAAACAAGATCAATTTTAAGTGTATTAATAGCTGCATACTCTAAGTTTAATCAGATTTGTATCAATTACCTTTTGTGTCGTATTCGTAAACGTTACACTGGCTGCCTTTTTTGTTTTGCCTGTGCCTACAGCTATGCCATCATGTTGGCGGTGTAGTTAATGTTTGATTTGATCAATTCGAAAATTCTAGTTTTTGTCCCCCAAGTATATCTGAAGCTGACTCATCATCATCATCTAATACCATTCCAGTTTCCCCCCTCGCCGCAGCAAACGCAACACAATTGAGTCAGGGAACGTTGGTAGCATCATTGAGTCACAGAGCAGAAGAAGACATCAGTACAAGACACATTGCCACAAGATGAGCTGCAAGGTGCGGCTTATGGAGGATGGCTCACTGGACGAGGAGCCGCTAACATTAAAGGAGATCGCTTATCAGAAGCTATGCAACAATCTGGACATATTCAGTGGATGTACGGACAGGGGTCAGCGTTCCCTGAACGCGGGCATTGTGCTCACGAATGAGATATGCGACGCGTTCCTCGAGAACTATCAGCGCTTCCACAGACCACTTGACGATAGGGTCATAAATCTGTTCAGCGATACGCGTCGCACCTCGCTGAAGATTGTCAATCTGCGCTACAGCACACTGAGCAGCATAGGTGGGTCTTATGACACAGGCTCGATTTGGATTGAATTAGTATTTACCTCTGTTTTATTGTCCTGCAGGTCTGCAGACGCTAATGCGTCACAAATTGTTTGCTTTGTCCATGTGGTATTGCGATAATATTACGGTGCAATCACATCACCTGCTGGCCCATTATGGCGATAGCCTGCGCTCATTGGAACTGGGCATCAGTTCGCATCTGTTGCAGAATGAGGAGCCCCATGAAAAGGAGCCGGTGGACTTTCAATTGACCAGCCCGCATCTGCGCCGTCTGGTGCTCAATGGCGTTGTTATGCATCATCGTCTGCAGTTTGCCCATTTGCAGGATTTGAGCCATTTGGATCTCACATCGTGCGTGCTGGCAAACTTCAGTCTGGAGGCGCTTGGCATGCTGCCCAACCTGCACACGCTCATACTGTTCAATGTGTGGCCAATTGCGAACCAGCTGCATGCGATCTGCTGTCTGCGGCGACTCTGCACTCTGGACATTTCAATATCGAGCTCGGGCAACGGGCATGGCACCTATGATCTGCCCGATCAGACGCTGGTCATGCTCATGGACAACCTGCGCCATCTGACACATCTGGATATCTCCGGCACGAATTTGGCCGGCAACGGCGTCGCCACCAAGGAGTCCACCAATGCCAATACCAAGACAGAGCAACATTTTGGACCCACCGATATACCAGGGCTAGCGTCGCGCACACAGCGACCGCTGCAGTTTCTCGGCTTGTATCACACGGCGCACTGGGCTTGCAAACGTCATGACATACCCGCCCTGGAGGTGGCCGGCGATGCCAACGAGCAGCAGATACTGACAGCGGCGCGCTATTACCACGACAGGCCCGTCCTTCTGACAAGGGTGAGCACATACAAATAGTTGACAGAGTCAGCCTCTTAATTGATATACATTCGCTTGCAGGTTCTCAATGATTTGTATCATCTGTTTCGCTTTGAGAACTGCAAGGACATACACACAGCGCTGGATGTTGTGCTCTGCGCCATGGACAGGCATTTGAAGTTCAAGCATATGCAAATATCGGGCAGGTGTGTGACCTCTTTATGGCTTACTCTAGTCGAGGGTATAATTATGATTTTGCTGTGAATTTTGAAATTCTGATCAGCCGAGTTCATACTCCTCGTCCGGCTATACGTCTGTCTGTACTATATCATAAAGCTTTAATCGGAATCAGTCAAGGATTGAGTTCTTGAATGAAAAGCTTTACTACTCTTTCCACATATATATAAAATCATAATTATACAAGGGTATTTAATATTCGATCAAGTCGAATATAATGGTTCTTGTTTTGCGAATGATTTCGAAATTCGTTTTGCCGGCAGCGCTACACTGTTCTACATTGTAAAGGGTCGTGATCGTTCCAAGTTTGGCACTTTGCTGCGCAACCACATCATTCGGACGCTACTCAATGGCATGGAGATGCATCTAACGGACGACACAATGCTGAGGAATGGCTATCTGACGCTGACGCAATTCCACATGCCAGTCGATGTGGTAGGACTGCGCCTAAATCTTCAAGATTGAACAGCCCGAAACTAATTGTTAACTTATTTAATTGCCACAGCTGTTCGAGTACGAACGCCTCATTAAAATACTCCTGCATGGTGTGTCCAAAACGGAGCAGGAGGGCTTCGTTCAGCGCATTGCCATCTATCTGCTCAACACGCTCGCCTGCCAGGTGGATGGCAGACAGAAGCTTTTTCTCGGCGAGTTGGGCGTGGTCAGCGTAAGCGTATACCAACCAGATGATGTTCCATATGCAAACCATATTTAATCGAGTGTTCATTTTATATATGCAGACAATGCTGACACTGATCAAGGATCGGCTGACGCGTTCGGTGTTCGATGATGTCATGGAGGTGGCGTGGTCAACCATGTGGAATGTAACCGATGAGACTGCTATTAATTGTAAGAAATTTCTGGATGGACGCGGAATGGAGTATTTCCTTAAGTGTTTAAATGTGAGCCAGCCACAACATCATCTCAATCTAAACGATATTTTAAATGCATAATATTACCCAACGCAGACATTTCCCGATCGTGACGAGCTATTGAGAAACATGATGGGACTGCTGGGCAATGTGGCCGAGGTTAAATGGCTGCGTCCCAAACTGATGACACAGGAGTTTATAGAGGTGTTTGCGCGCCTGCTTGATTCATTGAGCGATGGCATCGAGGTGGGTCATCATGGTGGAAGACTAGCCAATGACAATGCTAACCAACTGCGCTTCCAGGTCAGCTACAATGCGGCTGGAGTGCTGGCGCACATTGCATCCGATGGCGCCGATGCGTGGACCATCAAAACGCCAACACGACAACACGTCCTCGAACGCATGGTGGCCGCCATACAGCGCTGGAACATCAAGAGCGAACGCAACATCAATTATCGCAGCTTTGAGCCCATACTGAGTCTGGTGCGCTGCTATGAGACGCCCGAATGCCAGCACTGGGCCGTCTGGGCGCTGGCCAATCTCACCCAGGTGAGTCTAAACGAATGTTGAGTGTTCTTCATTAGTGACTCATATCGCGTCTCTTATACTCCTTAGGTCTATCCGGATAAATATTGCCAGCTGGTGGAGCAGGAGAACGGCATACAGATACTGACCGAGCTGATCGAGCACGAGAGTCCCTACTGCGAAATAAAGCGCATCGCACGTCTGGTTATCGAACAGTGCGATTTGGGCATGGAGCGGATGGTGGAGGGTTAGGCCAGATGCTAGCCCTCAATGTATGCCAGAGTCTAGGATTTACTATACGAGTTTGTTGTAAAGTTTGTGTTTAAGGCAGCAGCAAGTGTTATCGTTCAGATTCTTCCTCGATTTTTATGTTTACTTCAACAAAAAAAAAAAAAACAAAAAAAAAGGCAAACAAAAACAAATTTTAAATGCGACAAAATAGGAAAAAGCTAAATGGGAGAAACATAAAAACGCGCGTGTTTGGCAAAAAGAAAAGAACGCTAAATATCTATTACATTAATTACTAGATTATATATATATACACATCTATTACGGTATATAACTATATATCATGTTGTAAGCAAACGAGCGATTTTTTTTAAGACGAGATTAAGGCCCTGTCGGAAACTGTAAATATTGTTAACAAAAAAGAAGAAGAAGAAGAGAAATGAAAAGGCAAACGAAGTAGCTGCATATTAAATAGAACCCTAATTAAATAATCCTATGCAATTGAAGTCTTTCCTGTATGTATGCCTCCTTAAAGATATATCTATATATATATATATAGGGGTATTTAGCTGTTGATATGTCTGCTCGATTTGTTTTTTATTTTTTATTCTTATTTATTAGCGTTTAAATACTTAGTTTAAGCTGTACCTTAATGTGAAACCCATTAACTTGTCCGCTTTGTGTTCAATGCAAATGTTTCGATTAGTTCCTTTCAACAATAATACTTTTTTTTCCTGTTTATTGCGTGTTCAAGCAATTTCTTCATAATATGCTTAAAGTCTAGGCTAATTAAATGTATATATGTATGCATAGATAAGTGTGTTTCGTTTTGGTTTATAGCCAGACCTTAGACTAAATACCATATATTTTATTTATGTCATTTATTTTAATGGTCTAAAATTATGAGCTAACAATTGTGCTTAAAATTTCCCTCATAGACTTGTGAACAGCTGCTCTGGGCTTCTACTCACACACACACACACACACAGACCTACGTATGCGTATGCATGTATATATACAATTTGTTAAAGCTGTGTATGTATGCAAACAAATTGCAGCAGTTGGCGAGTGTCAATTGCGTCATGGAACCAGTGTTGCCAACTGTCGCGGCAAAGAAGTAGCTAAATCCTGTGTTAAAAAGTTATTGAGATGCCAATAAGTGAATATATAAGTTAAAAATTGCACTGTTTTCAGCTGGGGTTGCTCTGCTGGCTGCTGTCGAGTGAGAAGGGGGGGGACAATTTGTGTACTTGAAATGCCAACGAGTTGAAAAGCGCACGAACATGTGGCGCATGTGCAGTTGGCAAAGCGCACAGACGCTCCCCCACACACACCCACACAACAGCTTGGAGAGCAAAGCAACCCTTCTGATATGCGCGCTCTCTCTCTCTCTGCTCTCACAAGCGACGCAGTTGTCAGTTGCCATTTTGCCGCCCGGTCGAGCGTGCGTTTTGTTTTGTTGTTGCGTGGCAAGGCAAGCACTGCGAATATAATCAAAGAAATAAACGCAATATCAAGATGTGATTACAAAAGAAGTGGACAGCGACTTCCCTATATTGTGACTTGCTTTATTTTACTGCCAAACTAAACAATCCATAAGTTTATTGAACAAAGTCAACAACAATAGTGAAAACAAAAGCCACAACAGAAACGCCTCAAACGGATTCTGCGCAGTTCGCATGGAAACGGAAGTGTGTGAAGTGTGAGTTAAGAGTGGGCAAAATAACATCAACATGAAAATGCATTCGAGTGTTGTTTGCCCGCTTTTTGCCGGCCCCTCCAAGCAACAGCACACGCAGAGCCACAGCCAAGTTGCTTCCGTTCAATAACCCTGCACAAAACTTAATAACAAAGCGCAACTCCCTTTGCCATGGGAACAGGCGCTTGTATTAAAGAAAAAAACAAAAATAAAAGTGTATTCCGGGCATGAAATAGGCTAAGGTATTGAGTACCGATTTTAGTCTATGATTAAACGGAATATCATATTTTCTCTGGCCCACGCAACGCGCTTGCTGCAATTCCAAACACGACAAATTGCAGCAAATGATGTTTGTGGGGCGAAATAAACGTAAATAAAATTTGTAAAAACTCGCGGCCTGACGGAGGCTCGAACCGCGGTTCCAATGAGAACAAAATGTTCTTTGGTGCTGCAGCTGAATGTGCTTAACCAAAACGACATCAATAAATTCAGCAGCATTTGAGCATTTCAAGCACACGAGCTGCTAGAAGAGTGAAAAGCTGGCTGCTGAAAAGCTTGCACAGTGCTTTGTGATATTAAGAATATTTGGGAATTGTTATTCATGATAGCATTTATTTCGTATTAAAATATAGTCCGATATTAAATACTCATTTCTATGTAGCACTAGTAAATGCTACATAAATTATAATAAGCAAGCAGAATAATTAATTGTCAAATTTTTAATATTGCGCGAAACTTATTTCTAAAGATCTTGTAAAATCTTTTTTTCGGAAACAGTATAAATAAGAATGGAGTTAAAAGTTTCTGATATCAGAATTTAATTTTATAAATTTATTCAACTAATTATTTTTCTGTGTTTCTTGTACAGCAGCAGCTACTCATTGCAATCACTGTCAGCTTAAATTGAAGAATAACTGAAGGCTCTTCATTGACAATCCTGGAGCGAACGACGAACACGGAACGTTATGTGGCCCAGCTCGGAGCGAGGCAGCTCGCGGGCCCTGGAGATACCCACCAGCCAGCAGAATGCAGGCGGTAGTAGTCAGCAGGAGACGCTGGCGGACATTGAGCACATATCGACAATAGCCGGATCATTGGCCTCCATTGGCACGCTCTCGCACACACAGGCGCGCTACGTGAGTGTCCTTTTTCTGTGGAACCCTTTTACCTTTATCTAGACTAATTAATTTCCTTTCATATGCAGTGCACAAATGATGCCGGTTATGATACGGAGCACACCTCATTGAACTCGGACTTTGATGAGGCTGAGCTGCGCAGGGAACTGCTCAGAGATGTAAGTTTTAATAATCTACACTCAGAGAAAAAGTCTAGTCTTACTTGCTGGAAATTCGAAAGTTTTTCTCTCTTAATTTCAAGTAGAATTCACTTTAAAATATTTTTTTAATCGAATTTATAATATTTTTGAGCGTAAAGGCTTTAAAACCTCTTGAATTGTCTACAAAGTATTTTTTACAAGCATTTCCTTACTTGAAATAAGTGAGAAGCGACTTAATTGAGTCTTGCATTTAGAAATTTCGGGTTGAAAAAAGTTCTTGAAACATTAGTTTACAAAATTTCAAATTTGTTTTGCTTCATTTAAGCTCAAAGTACTTGATTGTTTCTCTGAGTGTACCTTTTTAAATGAATTAAAAACTAACTTAAATCTTTTGATACTTTCTTCCAAACAGAAATGGAAGCTTTTATTCGATATGGTAAGTAAAAGTTAAGCAAAACTTATAAGCACACGTTTATTTATATCTATTTATTCCTTGACAGTTCGATCCGGAGGGTTTTGGCGAAATATCCGTAACCGAATTTTTGGTCGCATTGAGATCCCCCGAATTTCTATCCCAAGTGCCTATGAATAAGCGTGAACTGCTGCTGGAACGGTCCAAGAAGGCTCAGCTGCCCCATGGGCCCGGCTATGTGACGTTCCAGGACTTTGTCAACGTGGTAAGTGCATCTAAATCATATTCTCGTGTGCCCCCTGCGTGGCATCTCGTGCCGCACGAAACAAACAACAGGATTTGAGTGCAAACACAGGTGCATGCACCCATTTACCCATGTTCCATGTGCCATGTGCTGCCCCGGTTACTAAAAGTGTAGGCTCGTGCTCAAATACAAATCACAGCACGGGCGGACGGACTACTGCACTCTTGTTATGCCCTGTTTATGGAGTTAAAAAGGGGCATATTGGTTTTGTGCTGCGCTCGTGTTTAGAAGTCGTTTTCAGAGCTAGAGAGTAGAGCTTCTTGAAGGTTCCTTTGGTTTGATTGGAGTTGAGTCATCAAAATTCTTTTCTAAAGGTTTAAGACGCACTAACAGGGCTGCAAACGCAAATAGTTCCTGGTTCAAACCAACTCCCTGCCTATTGGTTCGGCTCCTGAGCCAAGACCTTCTTGAAGGTTCGTTCAGGTTGAGTCATTAAAATTCTTTTCTAACTGTTCAAGGACGCTTTACCAGGGCTGCAAACGCAAATAAAAGTTGTCGCTGGTTCAGTTCCTGGTTCAAACCAACTCCTTGCCTATTGGTTCGGCTTATGAGCCAAGAACTAGAGGCACGGTTGACCTTTTTTAAGGTAAGGTGAGCATGGTTGGAGTTAAATCATTTATCTAAATTCTTTTCCAAGTCGCATTACCAGGGCTTCAAACGCTAAGAAAAGTATTCGCTGTTTCGGTTTCTAGTTCAAACCAACACCCTGTCTATTCGTTCTGCTTGCGAACCTATCTTAGGATTTGGTTCATATTGAAACATATAAATTATAATTCCTGGTTCTCAACGTTTCCTTTCAAACTCGGCTTGTAGCGCTGGTACACTACAAACAGAGTATCTCGCCGTCGTTGCCATGTGCTTAACTTCTTTTAATTTTTGTTTGCACTGTGGCAAATGCAAAAAGTCCATTCGCACTCGCCAAATAAATGCACCTTCGTCCTGTTAGGACACGCCCTGCTGCCCGTTTGAACATTATTTACCTGGACAACAACATGGACTCTGGCGCTGTGTTGGATTAGGGCAATGTGGCTTAGTCTGAAGTTCTCGTTCTGGTCTTGGGCGAATTGCAGGATTCTCTGAGTGGTTGAGAACATTTCTTTTCAAGTCCTTTTTACTGTTTGCCATTGCCATTGACAATTCTATTGCAATTTGATTGATTCTACGCTTGATTGACACACACACACACGCACGCACAAGCACACACATTTACACACACACACATGTGCATAATGAATGTCAAGTGTGTTTTGCCCTCGCCTTGCTGCTCAATTGTTTGCTAAAGACTCCTCAAAGTCATGAATTAGCCAGGTACCCTTGTGTGTGTGCGTGTGTGTTTGTTTGTGTGTGTGCGTGTGTGTGTGTACGTAACGGTAATTGTCAATGGCACAGTTAATTCGTCTGTCCTTTGATCCAGCTCATAATGTGCCGTTGATGAGATCTGTTATGGGCATTAGCTCCTGTTTCTGGGCTCTAAACG